TATATATATATTTCTCTATCTGATTAGAACAGGCAGTCCAGGAAAAAGTCCTTTTCTGCAGGTAGAAGGCTCAAGGCCTTTGGAAGGAGATGGCAACACAGTCTGCGTATGCAATTACAGAATGTCATTATTGCAAAGTGAGGTCAGGCCCTTACTCAGGCATCAGCACTACCGTTTACCCACAAAGAAGTCTCAGCTTAGTACAGTGGTATTTTCACCCCTACGACAGAGGCTGTCCTGGAGCTGCAGACTAAAATCTTAGAGTAGAATTCACTTAGAGTGATGATCACTTTTCTGTGAAAGTTCTCTAAAGAGCTGAAAGTCCTCCTTTTTGCCCTCCACGCTATCATTGCTCGGAAGATAAGACAAGCTCCTCCGCAGAGCAATGGAAATAACCTTGGAGTGGTTCTGGTTACTGTAGTACTAAGAACAAGCAGATCTATGTGCCAGAGCAGATATGCTCTAGCATGGCTGCTGAATGGAGCTTTACTGCTGGAACAGTAAGTCAGGTTTGGTTTTGCAGGGCAGCTGCTCATAGCTGGGCTTGGCTAATCCTACTTCTCAGATGCAGGTGTCATTAACCATATTAATTAAGAACATGGCCTTAGCAACCAAGAAAATGGCTTCTCACTGCTGAGAAACTTGAGTTTCAGTTGAAATTTCTGCCATGGGAAGTTGCCTGCCTGCAGTTTTTGACAACGGTATTTAAAATGATGAAAGCTTAGGTGCAGGATTTAAAATAAATCAAATTTGAGCATAATTTAGCCTTCTGTCATTGACCCTCCTTTCCAGTACGAAAGCAACCAAGTTACAGAAGTCTATTTCACTTGTTAAAGGAAAGAAGAAAACAAGATGTTGTCCACGTTCTGTATTAAAGCTCCTTTCATTCTCTGAGAAGCAATGCAGAACTATCCCAGCCCAAGGCAGTTCAGTCCTGTTTGAAGGAACAGCAGTTAAAATCACAGCTTGGTCCCAAACTGGTTGTTAAAAAATGTCTCTAACAGCTCTGCTTCCTATCACTGCTGCTGCCTCTCCTAGGAAACATTTTGACTGTGCATGGCTCAGTGGGCAGTTTCTTCTCCACCTCTGTGAGGTTTTCCAGAAACCCAGAGGCCCCAGGCGCTGTGCACAACGCAGACTATTTTTGCCAGCTTTTGGTCCTGCCTTCACTTTCTCTAGCCCTGGAAGTCATTGTTGAGAAGTTCACTCTTGAAGAGATGAATAGAGAAGTCTTTTTAAATTTTCATTTCAAGTACATCATACATACCATTTTTTCGAAGTTTACTAGATTGTCAGTGAATGTTTTGTTTCCCTCATGAGTAAACGTCATGTCTGTATAGAAATAAAAGCCACATAAAAGCTCATTACTGAATCATGGCCATGCAAAACAGCAGAACATTTTATCTATCCCTTACAAAAATCAAAGCAGATCTAAAAGTAAAACATTTAGTTTTTAATTTGCAGCATTTCTGAGACTAGTAAAATTGAGGTATGATATTCAGATGTACTAAAGCAGTTTTTCTTGTCTCCATGTCATGCTTTTTATAATGAAAAAGATCACCCCTCACACTGAGATTGATTTTTGCTTTTTCTTGCTGCTACTCTTATTCTTCAAACATTTCACAAAATAGCTTTCAAGTTAATAATTCTGGTAACATCCAAGCTTACCTTTTATAAGTAGTGGCATGAAAGGAATTATTGGAGGGTCCAGTTTAGCTACAGTTAGTCTGTAGGCCCTATGGTTTCTTGATGGATCCTGAAGAAAAAAAGAGAAATCAAATAATTACTAATACGTATTATTATATGTATTGAGACACTGTATGCATTCATTTAGATGTCATGGCATTTATTAAAATCATTATTTTCTCCCGTGGCTTTAAAAGTGCATCTGCAAACTAAGAGACCTTTTATCATTCTCCCATATAGCTTACATGATGAGAATGCAGCCGCTAAACACAAACATTTTTCATGCCAAATAGCAAGGTAAGATATGATTACAAAAAAATTCTTCATAAAAGGAACCACACATTTTTCCTTCCTCCTTGCAGCTGCAGTTGCATATGTTGTAACATAAAATGTATTGCCTGGAAAAATCCAGGTTGGAAGATTTAATTTCCCATATGTACTATCGGAAAACATGTGATAAAGCTTCTCTGAGTTCCCAGATTAACTTTGAGTGGTACATAAGTTCTCTCAGAGTAGGTTCCTAAGAGTATAATTTATTAGTCATACATACTTGTTTTAGCAGCTCTAAAATGGGATCATAAACTTCTTAAAGTCAAACAAGGACATATAAAATGTTCTGAATCAAGGAATTCAAATCAGTTACTCGGAAACTGAATTAGCTCAGATTGTGCATAGAATAAGGGATCTATTGCTATTCACCATTAGGCTTTCAAACTCTGCATAGATCTTCTTGAACTTGCTTGGAAGTTTCTGTTAATAAAAACAAAAATAGCAAACCTTAATTAAATCCAATTTGTGTGGCAATTTTACTGTAAATGCTAGTTCCTTCTATAACGCCCTAAGTCAGGAAAGTGCTCTTTTTGCCAGATATTTCTAACAATGTGCTAATCTAAAATACAACATGTCTCCTAGCAACCAGATTATAAATAGAGACGGGACCAGCCATGAAACCTGGATCCTGATTTAAACCCCAACTTGAATTTACTCCTTTGGGATGTTTAGATTCAGATTTTTGTTTGGCTGACATCACAATCACTGAATTCAGAATGTAAGTGAAAGTTCAAGTCAGTGGTTTCAGGACATTCCTGATTATAGCCTATCTGAAAATATTATTTACACACAGCTTGCGTAGGGGTAGCTCAGCTTAATTATTCATACCTATGATGAACTGCCCTTGCAACATTCAAATCCATGCCTGAGCATTTCCAGAAGTTTTTTATGTTCATGCTGATGTGTCACCAACTATTGCTCAAATTCTCAACATGCCCAGCAGCCAAGGGCCTCTACCGCTTTCTGGGGTATAAATTAATGAATAGTTTTTCAGTCCACAATACCTACACAAATAAATCACGGTCAGTTGAACACGCAGTGATTGGGATGAGATGGGCTTTACTAAATATTTTCTTTCCCCCTCATGTTATGTTATACATATTAAATAATTTTATGATAAAGACTATAAGATATGCTATAAATTCATTTCAGAGATCACAGTAATGTTTTATGCACGCTCAGAATATGTCAGCTTTCTAGTTTTAATACAAAATTTATCTGTATTTGCTGATTAAATCAGACTACTACTGGCAGCAGGTAACATTAAAAATTAATAGAGACTTTATAGCACAGAAATGATTTTTTGCAATACTTTCTACATTTGGAGTGTGTACCCTAGCAAGATATTTACACTGTGCCACAGCAAGGGCCTAATTTTTAATGATGTGTGTGAACAACTGTGTGCCTAGTTTGCATATGCATGTAGATTAGGTATTTGTGAAATAAGTGGTATAATTGGACATTTGCACCTGCAAATATCTAATTTGTGCATGCAACTAATGTAAATGCATGATAATATGGCAAAAATCAGGTCTTGAGATGTTTGGTTTTAAGTATAATCTGTATATATATATCTGGCTAAAAATCAAGCTGCAGAGATTCTCTTGATAAAGCAACTGCCCTGCAGCACCACAGTGTGATTAACATTTCCCCAAACTCAAGTTCATATTCCACATCTACAAATGATCTGTGCCCCTCCAGCTCAGACCCTGTGCCCATTTCAGATTGCTGTATGTAGTATATACATTCAATTCCCTCTTCTCTCTTCATACTACTCCTGTGCTGTCCCAGCTCTCCCAACTATTGCTCTCAGTAGCCACAAATGAAGGGTCATTATTTTGAGAAACTGATCTGCAAATCTTTGCCTTTAGCACTGATTGCATACACCACACGTTCTTTTGCAAATTGCATTGGTGTCTTCTCAGATGTGTTAATGTGAGCTCCTATTTCAGAGCCCTGTTTTAAAGGTGTTCAAATTTCGGTCTCAGTTGCATCAATGACCTCAGTCATGCTAACTATTTTGAAATTCTAATGAATAAAATAGGTGCACATTCAAATCTGCACTGCTTTTGACAACCAGTATGTTCTTAATGGTTACATGTGCTTACTACCTCACCCTGCTAGACACTGCATCCTATTTATATACTCGCATACAAAAGAGCAAAGCCACAGAAAAAGGTGGAAGCTCTGAGAATGAAGACCAAATTGATAGTAAGCAGGGGAATGTGTGCCAGAGAGAAATCCAGAACTGGTTTTTGGACACAACTGCATTTTAATAGGGCATCAGAGTCCGTATGGAGATCAGAAAATAATATGTATAAACAGAGGATGGATTTTAGAGAAGGATCTATGGAGTGATCTCACTAAATGATCAGTAAAGTCAGAGGATGGGCTGGTGTAAGAGGTTAACTGGCTAACTCGCTCATCCTGTTGGGCAGTTAGAAGCTTCTGTTGTCACTCTTATTAACTGCTTGTGAGTATTCAACACATCTCTGGGTATACTGCCTTACTCATAAAAACTGTCAGCCTCAGCTAAAGGCTTGTGCTCAGGAGCTCAATTAGTAGATCGAATTTTATCAATAATAAAGGCCCAAGTCACGTTTTTTGCTAACTAAAAGCACAAATCCCAGTCAAACTTCTTGGAATAGGATTTTAGCTAGGACTTACCTCCCATGTTAACGAGAGACGGCTCACAGCAACATTACTCAGTCCCATAATAATAGCGAAAAAGGAATTCAGATTTTTGTATTCTTTACAGCTGAAACACAAAGGGCCAGGTTTTAAGTTGTATGCATCAGTCAGGGCAGAAGTACACATGACAACCTGAAGAGAGCTAAGCATAGGCATCTAGCATAGATGTGACTGAATTTGGGCAGCCCTGGCCAGCACACCTGCACCACACCGCTTCACCAACCTATGGGTAATTCACTACACTCTGGAGGCTCCTTCCCCCTCCCTCCTAAAATGACTGCCTGCTTCCACTTCACTGGGTGCCAGCTTCTGCAAGGACACTAAAGGAGTCTTTGAAGCTCCTCCTCACCCAGAAACACAGTCCTGAAACTGGGCTCCATTCAGTCCCAGGGAATACCAGAAACAGTGGAAGCAACTCGTTCACAACCTCATTTGCTGCAGAACTTGCTGACAGCTTCTGAACAGCTACTGAATGCTGGAAGCTGTCCCTAGATGATCTTCATCACAGTTTACAAGGGCACCGAGTCTTTTTAAAGGGAGAAGACCAGCTGTCTAGAGATGCCTGTGTGTCAGTGACCTCTCTTGCTGTGTACAGTTGTACTAGTACTTGTAGATTCTGGAACTCTTTAGGATGTTTCAAGCAAAGAATTTGTTACCAGCATCATTAAAGAGGTCCTGGGTATTAGGAGCTCCAGGTCACCCCCTTCATTGCTAATGCAAAGGAGAACTTTTGTTACCTATGAGGAAAACCTGGAAGATGTAACTGAGTATTATGGAAGGCCCAATATACCATATGCAGGAATAGACACAATCTGACAGGAACATCCCCCACAGTTGCTCAGCTGGGACAGCATCAGGAGGCTCATTGACTCAATGGGAAGGGAAGAGAGAGAACAAAGCCTGTATCTCATAAATTTGTGTCTGGTAGGTTCCTGCAAAATAATTGCTGTTTTTCACAACTGATTTGCCAATATCTGATTTCAGAACCTCAGCCTCTCCTTCTTTTGCTGTTAACCAAGAAAATTTTCACAAGAGTCGAACTATGATTCTCAGATATTTTTAGTTATTATTCATTGCTGAAGCTCCTACTCTTCTGAGGTATCCTCAGGTCCAGACAAAATTAGCAGAATCATCACATCCTACTGTCCGACTCCATAATTGCCACATCACCCTATTGTTATTCTGTTCTTTCTGTCCCTCCATTTCACCAGACTCGATGTATCGAGTGGGTGAGTCCTTTAGATCTGGGCCTCACTTGTGTCTGCACTGTGTGAACACTGAGTGTGTGAAAAAATGATCTCTCCCATCTGATGGTCTGTCTGTTGGAGACTGCTGCCCCCTCAGATCTTCTGGCAGAGCTGCTCATACAAATTCTCCCACATCAGATTAGGGATAGTGAGCAAGGTCAGCGAAGATAAGCTGAAATGTAAAGCTACCCCAACTTATTCTGACTAGAGCAGGTCAGGGAGTGCCTCATTAGTGGATCTGAGGGGAGATAAGGATGAAAAGCAGCCAGGATAGGCTGTCAGTGATAACCTCTTCCCCAGGCACAACTAAATACAGAAAGGGATATCTGTCCACAGCCTGTGACATTGAGAATAAATTGTGGCATGGTAAAAATAATTAGCACCGCATAGCAGTAGTGCTCAAACATAGTAGGCAGCTGCAAATGTACCTGCAATATGTAATTTGAATCTATCTTTCATTTTAAAAAGGAAAAGTTTTGCCAAATACTCTGTTAAGCAATGTAATTTGACAAAGTCCCTGTTAAAATCCATCTAGATGTCTGACATTCTACACCAAATATGCTGTAAATTCTACAGGTTCTACACTAAATAGCTCAGTTCCGTGCAGAGAACCCTGTGAAGTAGTAGACACAGTGCTGCATGGCTCCACTGTGTATATGCTGTTTGTAAAATGCCAGAAAGTGGATCCTCCAAAGCACCACAGTGTGCTCAGAGCAGAGGTCCCTCTGCCTCCCAAAATGGACTGTATTGGAAAAATCTTCCTGTTGATAAGAATTGTGAACACACACATATGCACACACTTGTCTGCAACACAAACATACGTGGTTAAAATCTCTCAGTACTTACACGAACATATTCATCAGCATTTTCCCTGTAAACACACACCTTTCAAAAATTTCTTACAGGCTCCTTGGGTTTATAACATATGCATGTGTATGGAAAGAATGATTTTCTAAAACTTAATGAAAGTGTCTGAGTATAGTGATACACCAGAAGGCTTCTAAATAGCCTGTGGTTATATTTGCAAAGAGGAAATATAGAGAAACTGGGTTTGTGGATATCCCTAGGACTAGGTGCAAGTACATCCTAGAAGGCCTTTCTAATAAAATTAATATGGGAAGAACTCACTGTAGGAAATATAGTTTGCTTCTCCTCTTTGTTTGAAAGTTTAATCCTACAATGGCTGGAGAAAAGAGATGAACCTGGTAACCTCTACATCCTTTCCCAGCAGATGCAAAGGCAGCGATGACTCCTGGAACTGAAAGCACACGTGCACAGCACTTGGAGCCAGCACTTGGCCTCGTGCTTGCTCGCACAGATGGGGAGCACACATCACAGGGTGCAGACACAAAATGATGTGCCTTCTGCAATGGCATCTGAGCCCCTACTCACAGAACTGAAACAGGGTTCTCAGTAACAGTTGTCTTTGAAAATCAGTACGTGCAAGGCATCTTGTTACCACCAGTCATGCCTAAGATTAATAGTGCAGCACTGAGCCGTTCTCCCCAAACACTTTTCTAATGAGTCTAGTACTTCTAGGTAGGGTAAAGTTCTCATTAGGTCTCAAGGATCTTCACAAGCAAAACTTCCTCAAAGATCTTGCTTCAAGGCCTGGGCCCGCATCTTTTGATCCAATTCCTTGGCTTTTTCTCCCCTCTAACTTCGGTGCACTTTGTGTTTGTTTTACCGCATGCTGTAGCACCTGTTACCATGGCAGCCCTGCACAGAGGGCAGCAGCCTGGCAAAACTTCCCAGCGCTTTTCCAGCGGCTGCAATTAAACCTGCCTGCTTGGTTTGTACGGAGGAAAATCTTGTGCTTCGGATTTCGCTGCTTTTAGGAGACAAAGAGGACTCGGCAGAGCAGACCGCTTTTAGCTATTTATTTTTAGCATTGTAGCGATACCAGAAACATGGAAGTAAACAGGAGGTTGTCAAGCTGTTGTAAATAGCATAGGATTCAACCCATGACACTGAGGAACCTACGGGCTAGGGCACTTTATTAAGGAGATATTTAACTGTAATTTTTAGCATACTTGATTTCAAGTGTTTACGGAAATTACTATTGTATCTTAATTTGCCGCATTTCAACCTTTTCCCATTTCATGCCTCTGAGTCAGGAAAGACCCCGACTCGTCCGCGTGTGGGTGCCACTGCCCTCTCCTGGACACAGCCCGCCAGCCCGACGGCCTGCTTCCCAGCTTTGCTCTGCGGAATGAGATAATGGAATATGCCGTCCATCTATTTTTAGAAACTGAAGAGGTAAATTCTGTCCTCTGTTCTGAATATAAACCTGATCCTACATGCCCACCCCTAGATTTTGAAAATCTTCAGCTTCGACCAACCGTAGTCCGGCCCAAAGCAGTTCCCAGAAGAAGTCCGTACTTGCAGAGCGGGGCCCTTCCCGGAGGAGGATGGCACGCTCATGCAGGGTTTTGGTGTGAACAGCGACTTCATTTCAGCAATGTGGAATTATTAACTGGGGGGGAGAGCGGCATCACAGCTGTAACTGTTCCTTCACACAACTGCATTTAATGATGCAAAAAAGTTAAAACTCATGGTTTAACTGCAAGTAATAACTAACTTCTTTGTTTGGTGAGACTGCCTAAAGGCTTCTAGTCACAATGCCCAAAGTCGCAGAGAAACACTTAAACAGGCGGTTCCTCACTGCACACCTCAGCAAACTGTTTGTTCAGACAGCGATGAATGCAATAAATACACCACAAACTGGAAAGGAAGGAAGAGGGTAACAGTGACAAAACCCTGTAGCTATGCAGGGCAGGGGCATGGCCCAGCTCCCTCTGAGGTCAGTCACACCCTCACCCTTGACTTCATCGGTGAGGAGTCAATGCCAACATCTTTAGCATGAAGGCTCCAAAGAGTTTAAGTGTCAATTTGAATAAAAGAATACAAGACAGCAAGAACTGCCTGCTATCCAACCTTAGATCCAGTGGTTACTAACAAAAAAGGACATTGTTGCATTTTTAAACAAAAGTATTAGAAAAATATCCCAAGTGGACTGAAGGTAACATGAGCCTCATCATCTCCATACTACATCTCTTTGCTCTCCCCTCTCGGTTTTCCCACTCAGGGCAATTCTGAGAACAGTTTTCCTGAACAGCACCAGAAATACTTCTGTTCTCAAGAAAATTAAGGCTCAATTTTGTTAATATTTACTAATTCACATACTAATATTTGCTAATGCATGTAAGGGTAAATGAAGGATTCTCCTAATGAACTGAAATATATTTACTCACAAATTTGATGTGAAAACATGGCCCTCAGAGATCACAGATCAAGGAGCAATGGAGAGTAGGACAGGAGAGAAGAATATATATTAACAAGGTTCTATACAGCCCTATAAGGAAATGCACGGAATTACCAAATAGAGAATGTTTTAACCTCTGCTGTGTGTGGCTGTCTGAAAATAAAAAGAAAAATAACAACAAATTGACTATATTGAACCTCATTTCCAGCTCACAGACGATTGTATACTTACTGGGCTGCTATCTTAATATACTTCTTTAACAGTTGAACACGCTTGCTGAGTTGAGAGCAAAGACAAATCTCAGTGACCACCCAGAACTGAATTTCGTTAAATCTTCTTAAAAACAAGTCCAGATTTGCTGTAGTCTTTTTAAAATTGTGCCTTCCAAAAATGTGATAGATCAATTCCAGCTAGGAAAAAGAAAACAGTTTGGGATTTTTTTTTAGAAATCTCATCTTTTGGACAGAGGAAAGAGGCTAAGAATGACCAGGTAAGTATCTGGCCTGAAACTTGTTCTGCAGTTTATGTTCATTGCTGTACAGATGACAAGGATTCAGGATGCAAATCCAGTAGACAATAGCTGAGGCATACTAAAAGCATAACTACAGGCTATTTAGACATAGCTTAATACCTTAAAACATACAAAAGTAATTCAATAAGCAGCACATATTCAGGAAAAGTTTAACATTATTTTTGCATTTTGCCTATAAAATTAAGAATGCCTTATAGTTTCAAAACTTGTAAGTGGCTTTATTGTAGTATTTTTGAAAATCAAGCTTAGAGAAAGTTTTGCAAATAATGCACAAACCTACAATGTACAACTAAACATTTTCTAACAGATTCTGATCTGCTGAGTAGATAGACCCTCATACCTCATGCACACAGTTGAAGAGCTCCCAGTCATAAATTGTCATCTGATGTGCTAAGTCTTTGGAGCTCATCAGTTCAAATGTTCCCACTGTACCAGTAGATGGTCCTTCTTGTTCTGGTAATGGTGCCTACAAATGCAAAACCGGTATAAAAATATTTTAGAAATACTAAATTGCATGATTGGTGCTTTTCTTTCATAATGTTTCTGATTTTTAATTTTTTTCCAGTGTGACCACCTTCCTAAGCATGTTTCTAATAGTAAAATTGAAATTTGCTTTTAACCACAGGCTGGCATTAGGAAATGAGTATCCACTATGCACAGGATAGTCAGGAAAATTCTGAAAGCTCTTCAGAGGCACTGTAAGGAAATAAACCAGACTGTTCTCAGTGTGTTATTTTTAGCATTGTTCTAAAATCTGAAGCCAGAAATAAATACTTCAATACACATTGTGCTAACTAAAGCATGCCTGTTCAGGAGCATAGGTCTTTCCATAAAGCTTTTGTTATCAGTTTCCTTTTTCACATACCCAAGTAACTAGGCCACAAAACCAAATTACTTTTGCAAATTACTGATTCTAATGATGAGAATTATTACATCTGCCATACTTCAGAAATCTGCAGTGACTGAAAGATCTTCTGGTCATTCATAAAATAAGCCTCATACTTTCTCTTTACTGTACAGGGATGCACTATTTGTGATCATAAAACTCCTGGCTATGCTAATTAAAATTATATGCACACAGTCTTATGAGAAAGAATCCTTCAAATCATTCAGGTATAAAACATGTTTGAAAGACCACCCAATAAATGAGATGTGATCTACAGTTTTGCACACAAGTAAATCTTATATTAAAGAGAGGTTTAAAACATGGCTTGAGATCAAGTCAGATTTGAAGTAGTCCGTTGTATACATTCGGGTCAAAGTGTTTGAACCAGCGCTGCTGAAATACTACCAACCAACCCTCTTGCAAATTCACATGCGTTACACCAGTAAAGCTTCCCGCGAACGCACGTTTTACTTGTTTTGTTTCCAGGAGAGGGCAGCAGAGTTCACTTACAAGTTTCTCCATGTCTCACAGGGTCTTTGTTAGACAATTCAGAGCAGGGAACTGCCAACAGGCTCCTTCCCAGTACAAACTCAATAGAGTCTGCAAGATTAACAGGCCGTATTTATATACTGCAATGTCAAAAATGAGCTCACTAAACGAATCCCCTTTTATATAAGAATATTGCATTACCAATAGAAAAAGGACTGAGTGGATTGATACCGGATCAAGTCACTTTCTCAGTAACACACAATATAGAGGAGCTTTGCTTCTGTACGAGTTCTTGTTTTGTACTCTAGGGAAAACTTGTCTTTCAAATATCATCATAATACAAACTTATTAAAAATAATTAAACTAAACCACAGGCATTACCTTAAAAGCTCTATCTACAATTTTTAAAAAATAGTGTATATAAGCAAAGTAATATCTAAAAAAACCAGGACAGTCATCAGTCTTACAAGAGCCTGCAGATTGCTCTGATTTGGGATTTGCACAAATACAAAATTTCTTTAGTTTAAGACAGAGTATGAATTAAAAATACAGCAGTTGTGTGTAGAAAATCCTGATTTGTGGAAATCTATGGAAAGAGAATTGCCCACAGACTGAAAGAGGGATTTTTTCCTCTATTTGGAGATGAACGCAACATAGCTGTTACCATAACAAACACATATTTTCCAAGGCTAGGAAAGAAGCACTTAGATGTAAACTCATTGCATATTTGAAAACTCCTCTAGCCCAGAACAATTTTCACATGGGAATTGCCAAGCATAATGTGAATAAATGTACATGAACAGGCAGCAGCCAGAAATTGGAACGTGAAAGGATTAAACTGGGAGGGAGGTAAGGTTTTTCAATTTGTTTATACCTCTTTGAAAAAATGCAGCTGATAAGGGGATGTATTCTGCTATGCAGTGCTGAGAACCTTTCTAAAGGTGCTGAGTGTTCCTCCCTATTCCTACTGAAGTCAGTCCAGTTGATGAAAACTCACACATTGCAGCCCTGTATCTTAGAGCTCCCTGTACCATTTCGAGTACTTGATCCATGGTAAATAGCGTAGGGGAAAAGGCACAGAGAGTCATGGCAATTTGCTGCCAAAGGTATGTCTACACAGGCAATGCAGAGCCATATAAAAGTACCCAGCATAGTTGTACTGACGCAACACCCCTGCTTTACAGCAGCATGCCCCAGGAGGGTATCTACTTGGCAGGATTAATTAACCTTAAGGGAACACCAGAATTTAATAAACTGAACGAGAGGTATCTCTGCGTGGAACTACAGTATGCTGGATGTGCATTCCCTGGTTACTAAATTGAAAGCAGCAGCAAAGCATAGACTTTATCGTATGCATAAAAGAAATCAGGCATACATACTAAGTGGCTTGTTAAAAGCATACAGGAGGCTGAAACAAGGCTAGGAGTAATAGAGTTCATGCTGACATGACTTGGCAATGACATTTGTTTTTAATGAAATAAAAGGAACAAAAAGTACAGTCAAATCAAACTCTTTAAAAGCAGACCCCATGGAGATCATTAGAATTACTGTATAAACTCTAAGTACTTATGAACAATTCTACTTAAGAAAAAATATTTCTACCAGGAATATTTTCTGTGATTCTATTTAGAATCATCTGAGATTTTGACACAGTATTTTGTGGGGCTGAGAAAGAAAAGATTTTAAGGAATTTACTGTTGGAAGCAAGTCTCCAGAATGCTTTAACTGGTAACATCTATCTTCAACAATATATCCTTGTGGCCTTCAGGAGATAATTCTGTAATCAGGAACTACTGCATGTCTTAGTGACAATATTCAGCTCTTCCTGCTCAGTGTGACACAGAGAATACTGGGATCAAGTACGGTCACATGGATCAGATGGATTTCTGCTCACATTTAGGGAATTATAACATTACCTAGTTTTAATTTCAGGGCTCATCCCATAGTACTGTGACAAGCCCTTTGTTTTGAATGTTTCCACTAGTTTTTACCTAAAGCACTGATAATGCAAAAAGGGCCAAGTGTTCAAATAAACTGAAGAATTGAACTTTCTGAGAACTCCACACATACATACCAAGGAATCAAACTGATCACGTGGGCAAGCAAACAGCCGTCCATTAACACTGAGAGTTGTAAACACTGAAACATCATGAGGTTTGAGCACAACCTTTTCTGTAAACATGAAACAAAAGATTGTTTATTATATACCTGTAGAATTTACAGCAGGACTGATCGAACAGCTGCGCAGATCACCCTTCTGGGAACAAATTTTGCACAGTGAAACAATGTCCAGGATACACAATAGATGACTACAAAGTCCTCTTTATTGAAGAAATGTGACAACAAGCTCAGCCCAAACCAGTTTCCTACAGAACTGGTATACAAACTGGAATCCAGCCCCAAACTGTACAGACAGGTCAAGAAGCCTGTGCTGCCATCTCTAGAAACTATCTGCAAAAATTCAGCTATAATTAGGGACTCCATTCATTCTTCTGTGAGCTGTAAGCATTTGGAGAGCTGTTCTTACTAGAAATTGGCTTGGAAGACAGTAACTGCATATGGAGGTGATGAAATGCAACTGTATTCAAATGTCATTACAGCAGTTCTAAAAGAGCATCACATCACAGGTAAAGAAAAGATAATGAAGTAACTTACAAAACAGTCTCTTCCAGCGGGCACTGGCTGTCAGCAAATCTCACAATAAAAAATTGCTGCAGCTGCAACTGCAAAAAGTAGAGCTGCCTGGTGTCAGAAGTGAGCTGGTTTTGGCAGGCATCACTGTTTGCAAAAATGCCTTCCAACACGGCTCTCATTAGCTCTGTGTGTGTTCACACAGTCATACTCAACCAGAGCACTTCAGCAACACCAGCTCTCCAGCCGAATTCACCTTGCAGTTACTCTCCCATTTCCACAGCCTATAGTGGGGGGCTGACTCCTGACCCTCTGTTAACACTAGGTCAGTGGGCTTGGCACTAAGTTGCCCAGTAGTGGTTTGCATGGACAGAGCAGCCAGAATGGTAGCGACCACTACGGGAATGTCTGCACTGCAGTGTCTTCTGCTGTTGCTGATTCATATGTCTAGCCTGACATTATCCATGCTTACCTCCTATACCTATTGTTAAAAACTCTTACAAGTCTTACAGTGAAGGAAATAGAGTAGCTCTGCTCTGCAACATGCAGATACACAAGCTTCTCCATTTTTCCTGTCTCCCATGTGAGCTCCAGTCTGTGCCTGCAGTAGGAAAAGGACTTGCCTCTAAGACAGAACCTGTGTACCAGCTGAACATGCACATGGATACAAAAGCCTTGACTGAATGAGTCTTTCAATCCCTCCTGACATTCTGCTTCACTGTGAGAAGTGTTTAAGATGATGCAAATACAGTACCTCCTCCTGAACTCATCTTTACTATGATGAGGCCTTCTCCAGAACCCAGCTTATCTGCTACTGCGCTGATCACTTCCTTCACAGAGGAAGACACTGGCACCCGGATAGTGGTATAAGTTTGGTCTATGCAGTACACCTTAAACAGAACTAAAGAAAAAAAAGATTGCACTGTGTATGCCACGTGTAACAACCACAGAGACTTTATGGTAAAAAATACTTTCACTGCAGTAACCATTCCTCACAAATGAAACAAATAAAGCAAGAACAAATCACTACAGTTTTGATAGCTACCCATTCCTCAGATATTCTACAATTTTGATTTCCCAGAGCTTTTAGTAAACCGTGAAGTACTAGGATTTCAGTATTGCTACAGTATTTATGGATGCCAATTTAATCTGGCACTTTGTTATGTTCCAGACATATTTTAAATCAACACTTCTTTTCAAGAGTCAGGAAAACTGGCTGCAAACTCTCTTAATTACAGGAAAATACTTTTCATATTTACAAAATAGATTTGAAAACAGAGTTTTGATTACAATCAGAACTTAAATCACACTGTGTTGCAAACTGTTTTTTACAAGCAAGTATATAATTGCTGAATCAAGAATGTTGTAGACAATGAAGAAAAATACCCTAACAATAAGAATACACTTGAGTGTACAGTACAAATTGGCTCACAGAGTAATACATGAACTCAAGTCTCTGGCTGCCTAGAAATCAATATGATAGTACATTAGCCTGCAAAAAGCAAGGCAGCCCAAAGTGACATGAATTCAAGACAGAAGAAGTTAGCAAAATAGTCCTTAGGTTCAGCTGTCAAGCCAAGCCAAGCAGCCCCTGGGGTTATAGCTGTCCATGGATCTTCAATGTTCAGCGTGCTGCCTGCCCTACGAATGAGAAAGATGCAGCCATACAAAAGGGCACTTACTGCCTGTCCACAGATATAAGTAGCAGCACTTCAATGGCAGCAGCAACTGTTTCATGCTTTGTAGACCTAGAAGAAACACTGATATGGACAACAGAAGCTGCATGCCTGGCAGGATGTCTGTTGTTCATATGCTGTTACTTCCAGCTTTTGAAATGGCTCTTCCGTTGGTTTGATTGATGCCACCAGCTTTCTCAGCTATATGACCTTGCATTTTGTTCCCTTATTTTTACCATTGTTCGCTACCAAGAGCTATCCTTTAATATCAAACACCTTGAAGCAGAAGCTATTTTCTGTGATGAAGATGCACCAAAACAACCATTGAGAGACTGGCCCTAGCAGTTCCAAAGAAATCCCCAGATTTATGAGTTTTAAGGAGCATGTATCTTTGTTTACATTGAACAGATCTCATCAGCAGAGCTCAGGATTTTGTTCACATAGCAGTACTTTAACCTGCCTGAAGTAAAGGACAATATGAAAAGCCGGTACGACTGAAAATTATATTCCGATACACTGCTGTAAATTTTACCTTGATCTCTTCAGAGAGTCAAACAATAGCAATAGGGCAAACTAGCAGATTTTGTTTTCTAGGCTGCGTGCCACGTCATGATTATCTGCTCCACTTCTATCTCGAAAAGGAAGAGCTGTACATGTTAGCTCAAACTATGTAGGGGAAACAGAGGCTCAAACATGACCTTCATTACTTGCTATTTATTGCACTGCCATTACCTGCACGGACACTGTCTGTACTAGTTCTTACGTGTTTTGTTCATTCCTTATTTTAAAGGTTTTTACTTCTTTCTCTGAGGAAGAACAGTGTTTGATAGCACAAGTAGTTAAGGGAAAAGACTAGGAGTGCTTCAAATCGATGATGGAGAATGCTGGGCTAGCATTGCTTCAGGCCAAACTGCAGGTAGGTACTTTTGTTTATTTCTAGACCAATTTTTTGAGAGAGACTAATTTACTGCAAATCTCAGTGGCTCATGAAAACTTTGCAGAGAAGGAACTCACTTTCGTCAGTGCCCCTGATAGGCTGGCGTTTCTGTGCTCTGTCATCACTTGCATTGAACAGCTGCAGAAGAACTTTGTGCTGAAAATGAATCATCAGCATTCATATTAATGCAAAAACAAACATTATGGCATAGATATGAACTGCAATAGATCTCTTATCAATAGCAGGAAAAAGAGTTGCAATGCAAAATTTGATACTTAATGTTAAAAGCTATTTCTCAATGTGTTGTTTTAATATATCCATGATTACTAACGAGAAGATGCTTATGGATTTGCTGTGCTGAAGCCTTTCTTTAGAAAACGGACAAATAAATTATCTTACCTTCTTTTGTGGTGCTTTAGGTTCTTCAGAACTATAAAAAGGTAAAGCATAGCATATGTCATTAAATATTACCTGGAAGATCTTGTGCAGAAAATCACCTATAGAACATGGACCACTTGTCAATCTACAGTATCAACATATTAATGTTTGCATATACAAAAGGAAGACTAGATGATACCATAGTTAACCTATGACCAAGGCAGGGACAATACTAGACAAAGTCCACGTAAGCGTGAAATAACCATCCAGTTCAGTTTCAATGGTGTGTACAGAATTTCTTATTCCTTCTGTCGACCTTTTAATGAGAGTTCGGTGTTTGCCAGAATGACATGGAAAGAGAGGGCCATAGACATTCATCCAAAAAAGCCTGCATGCAAACATTCAGTCTTGCATGACTGAGTGCCATTCATAGAATGGATTTTTAATAGATGTAAGTGATAAGATTTTCTTCATCTATTTACTGAGAAGAAGGGCAGGGGGATGAAAGAAGCAAAAAGTGTGCTTACACTTGCTTTACAATTTTCTCTAGCTCTGGAAGTTGCTCCTTTAGTGCTGCAATCATTCTAGTATCATCTGATACAGATACATAAAATTCCTGTAAATGATACAGAATAGTCTTTAAATAACTATAGGAGTAAATGAGCAGTAGTTAGGATAGAGGATTATGAGATGACATCTGATAGTTTAATGATTATAAAGAATGATAATCTGCATAGAGGAACACATTCTGGGCCCAACCCTCGATTACTTCTACTTATCTCCAGCTGATTTAAAGCAAGAGTTACACATGCAGAAGGGAAGCCTGATGAGGCTCCTTAGGCCACTGTGTAACCACTGACTGCTCCTGCAAAAACTGCATTTTCAGATTATCAAAGATAAAGACTATAAAATTCACAAACAATCTAGCATGATACGGGTTGTTTTTACCCACTGCTGTTGTAGTCCTTAGTGGTTCATTTGCAACTGAGTTGTTGTCTTGCAGCTACTCCAGTCCGCTACAGTATTACCCTCCCTTAAAACCTACTCACACCTCTTCCTGCCACACCCACACAAAACTGACCCAAAGAAGGATCTATGTGTTTGCAACTAGTAATTGTTCTTTAACTTTTGGACTAATGAAAGACATTATGTCTGTCTCCAAAGCTTGTCTATTATGAAAAGCTTTCCCATGTGGGTTTCCTCTATGTCTGTCATACTTAAGGCCCCTTTCTGTTCCCCTCTGCTCTTATCTAGGATTCAATTTTAAGCCGTTTGGCACAGGAACTCCCATTCAGCCATTAAGATATGAGACTGTGTTCCATAAACCAAATATTTAATAATAATAATGGCAATCATGACTTAACATGACATCGGCAGTGCATCTTACTGTAGAAATACAAGGATATGGCACCTACCACAAAGACCTTAAAACCAACGTCTAAGGAATTAAAATTATTTTAAGGGATCAGAAGGGTTCTGAAGACAAAGATCTTAAGTTCCAATAGATGTAGTACAGCTTTCATTCAAATGATTTTTGGGTTTGTAGAGTGAGAACTCTCCAGCTCCTTCCCGGCACACCTCAGGCAGGCATAAACAGCATCCCAGTTCAACCTGTAGAGCCTCTGAACTATTCACAAGAAAGTACTAAAAAAAGCAAATTCATCTGTTGCTATAAAGCAATCTACCCATGCAGTGCTTTGAAAGAGGTCAGCAACTCTAGCAGATATTTTCAGAGGTCCAGAGGTTGACAAGGGTTCAAGCACTGTTGTAGTGTGTATACTGTCTGCAGCTAAAACCAGGAAAACGGAGTTATGAGTTTGCACTTTGAAATGACCCACTTCTCTTTAGTTCATGACAGAATTCTACAGACTGGGAATCAGCTTTCAGCTTATCTTGCTTGGTAGGTACTTTTCAGTACAATGATACAATGATTCCTTTATACCTCCAAAAAGGCCATTGCTGCTTCATCTTCTTGTAGTAAATCTCCATATAAAGCAGCCCACTGCAGAACCAGTCGAATGACTCGCCTTTTATTGTTGAGGGCATAATCCATTTTCTCCTGCTCTGTACCCTGGGAAGGCTGGGCATGATAGGTGCCATGGTGTCAAGGAAAACGCTCAGTGATTGAAAATATCAAAACCAGTATGAATTTGCAAACAACTGACTTCCAACAAATCATTTTCAGGGTGTTCAAACAGAACTTTCCAATATATGCTTTTGATTTCTGACTGTCGCTAGCATAAAGACTTGTGAACCTTTCACGTTCATACTAAAAAGTAAAAAGACAGTGCTCTAAAAAGCACAGGAATGATCACAATCCCACCACAGAGACGGCTGCTGTAGGGGAGCAGAACAGAAATGGCACTTGGAACAATAGAGAAGAGGATTAACCGTAGAGACTGAAGAAGGATATTTCTCCTTGTTCTTCTTTGGAGACAGTAGAAGAAAAATAAAAATGTCACTTTGTGTTTGTTAACAATTCCAGTCTTCCATTTGTGAGGAAGACTACTGGAATGAACCACGAGTGTTATTCCTTTTATTTTTAGAAGTTACTGTAAGCCAAGGTGAATCTCAGGTCCCATTATGGAAGGAGGACCTGGAAGTTTACAGCCTAGACTGACTACAGAGACATGGGGTAAAAGAATAAATTCTCTAGTAGCCTCATTTCCATATGAGGAAATCAGAAGTTTCCACTCTGTCAAATAAAGTGTATTTGGGACACAATACTTCATAATACTTATTTGTGATAAACAGTAAGAAAAAATGGAAAACATTGAATTGATTTTTTTCATGATGAAGTGTAAACATTACAAAAATATGCAAATAGCAAAAAGGCCAAAAGTAACATTTATAGAGAGGAAGAAATCAAGAAAAAAGTAAAGGCACAATGGGCAATAAACGGAGATAATTTCAGCCTTTAATCTATGTGAAAATGAAGAAGAATCCCCAGCAGAAACAGGATATGACAATTTGTGTGCCTACTTCTCACTGATCAGAGGTTAACAATATTTATTTAAACTGTTTCCAAATAACTGATGGCTGAATGTGAAGGAATCACATCTTCAACATCTTCAACTTTTCTTCCCAGAGACCAAAATTCTGATTCTGGATTGTCATGAATAATACTATTCCCAATTATATAGCAATGATTACTGTTAAAATACTGACATCCTTTCACTCACAGTGAAGTCCAGCATCCTTTCAAGGTGCACTTTCAGTTGCTCTAACAAAAGATTTAAAAATACTAATTATAAAATTAAAATATTAATTAGAAATCAAAATTAACTAAGATATTTATTTTAAGCTTCTCATTTAGAAGCATTTCTCTAACAAATGCTAACATACTTTATACTAGTGATATATAATGGGAAAAAATATCTATTAACTTTCCAAATGATCCTCCTGCCCAAAACCCCTGCAGAGATTTGACATGCTACCAGGGTTACTGAGGCACTCATTTGACTGACAAACTTTTAGAAATCTGCATTTTAATTTCATTCGGAAAGGTTTAAAATGACTAGAGAACTAAACATCGCAGTACATTTATGGGAGTAAATGAGTCAGAGAATCATAAGAAGTAAATAAAATATTGTAAGCTATGTGCTCTTATGTCTCAAGGAGCAAGTTTAATATTCTACTGAGTCATTTTTCTCATGCCATTTTTACCTTTCAAACACTGTAATTATTTCATGTATTTTTACTTTCTTATTAACTGACTCACCACAGGCACTGGCAATTTTTCTGTATTTTTACTGCTCATTTATATTAATTGCTCTTTTATAAACATTATCATAGGGAAAGTCAATGAAGGGTTCTTCCGTTTTTATGGGACCTACAGGATGCAGCTTCACTGCAGACTGCAATCAGAAGTAAAACATCATGTATACTTGCAACAAGTGTCAGATAATTGTAAAATATTTATCAACACCAAGAAGGTTAGAGTTCAGTGTGTATATATATATTTCTAATTATGTCTAGCATATGCTAGGAAATGGAAGGAATTCTGAAATCTGTTCTTCCCTGCCTGGGAACACTTAACTGTATCAGGAGCTGTGCTAAATCAGCACCCATTACGACAGCAGAACACAAACTATTTTGCTGGCATGATGGTAAAGGAGGTTCACAAAACATTCATACAGAAACATACTAAAGGACTATCATCTACAGAGAGCAAAAGAGGAGTTTATACTTCATAAACAGTAGTCCTTTAAAGATGCACACCTGCACACACGCTCACACACCTGCACTATCCCAAGTGCACTTTTGCAGGTGCTACTCTACTTCAAGTTTTCTTTTGGGCTTTGTCCTGTCTCCCTCTGACAAGCTGCAGCTCTGTGAATTTGTCCTTTTCCATCTCTGTGAAGAATGGAGGGAAACAGGGGCCTTGGTCCAACACACAGGACTGATGTCCTGATCCAGGACCGGGGCACATACCCTTGGCTTCCCTATAGAAAAGAAGTATGTGATTTTGTTAATATTGCAGGATCCATATACTTTAATGACTAAAAAAAGAATAGTGTGCCAAGGGACAGCACAGTATAAGCACTGAGCCCGCAGCAAGCAATGATGTTACTTAGCCAAAATGGTGCACCTGTCCGTTCCTTTCAGGATTAAAGAATTTACAGATGACAAAATGCTGCTGTAAAAGAAGTGAAAACCCAAATAATTTATACCCCGTGCTGTGCTTGAAAGCACTACAGTGGTCTAGCTCTACTCCTACTTGCATACTGCCAGCTAAAATAGTATCCTAAGTGGGTGTAGGAAAATAGACTTGTATTGATTCAAAATTGGGAGCTGGAGCAAAAACAGTGTCTCTGACTGAATCACCTTTCTTCTTTTTCTTTTTCTGTTTTAATTTCCTCACTAAGCATAACTAATCTCTCCTTAGTCTCACAGCACCAGCAAACATTTTTGTAGAGCGATTTTGCTCAAAAAGATGAGCTTTGTTAGCAACCTTTCAACTCTAACAATAAATTTCAATGGTACCATCAACAGAGCACAGTTTGATTTTCCATATTCAGAATGGACCAAATAAACAATAATTCAGCTCTAGGAAAAGCTGACACTAAAGCAGTAGGATACCAGTTACTTCCAGCCCTCCTCCTCCTCTCTGAAAAGAATTAGCATGCCTGCCATGACCCACTTAAGACCGTGGTCTTAGCCTCCTCTCCAGAATAGATTTCATCACAAATGAATACATATACATAAGTGACACTATCACTTTGATCTTCAGAAAAGCTTTTCCCCTATAAACAATGAGGTACATTTTGCTTATGCATCTGATTTTCCCCGTTATTGGATATCAGGGGTACACTATTATAACTGAGGATAGACAAGCCTGAGTCTCAAATGGACTGATTGAATAATATGAGCTAGATAAATCAGAAAAGAAAAAAAATCCAACATAAAAAGTGCTGTCCTTTTCTTCCCCTCTCAAAGCTGTCAGCAACAGCATTTCATAATACTTTTGATATCCAAAAGTATGTGGTTTTGGAAAATGTGTTTGTTTCAGGTGTATGAACAATTTTCTGCAGACCAGTTTTATGGGTCCAAAGGTTTTCAAAACAATTACTATCCTTGCTAGGAGTAACATAAATGGATTCTCAAGCTTGCCAGACAAGGACATGACGCTCTATTTTGTGGTTTCAGGGTGTTAGCTTTCCCAGATGTCACTCACCCCACTGAGCTTCAAGGAAAACACACTTTCACACCAATCTGATTCTAAAAACATAAATATGGAATTGAAGTTATTATACCCATGTCAGAATTCTATAAAACAGAAAACATTATATGTTTATTTAATGCTCCCAGTCACTTTGATAGCTTCAAGTCACCGTGCACAAGGAAAACTCTCAGTGCCCAACAGCTCCCCAAACTAAATGACCTGCCAGTAACTGACTGACGGACATTTCACAGACTCCTTCAGTAAAACATGCACAGTACAAGAATCAGCTCCACCTCTTGATGCTATCCACTGTAAGCTTTCATCTCCTAGGTATTTGCATGCAATTGAAGTTTCTTGCAGTTTGTTAATGCTTGCTATAGACTATTATTATAGATTATTATTATTTTTATTCATAACTATTATGAAAGCACCTCAAAACTACTTCCTCCTTATTCTACTAGTTTAGGCACCCTTTTGCTTCAGGCAGTTTGCAGCTTGTAATCTATATAAAGTGGACCATTGAAATCACCAAAACATAATGATCTTAGTTAAAATCTAGATGCTGTAGTTCAGCAAAAACCAAGACAGACAGAAAGAATACAGGCAGGGAAATCCAAACTTTTATGTAATTTCATTTATCTGGTGGAGGGACAGTACATTTCTTTCCCTCGGAATAGTAATCAGCACAGGAAAGATACATTTTTCATGCTCCGGGATTGTATCTCATCATGGGTATACACTATCCATTTCAGAGTTGTTGACCTACGGACAGCCATTAGGCAGACACTGAGAACCTACTCACAAAGCAGAGCCTCCAGGAAACGCGATGCATGTACGTACTTCTTGAGAGAGAGAGACGCTTCAGTCTCATCACCGATAGGGACAGCTGTTAAAGGAATGTAACTTTTCCCTTACAAAAGGATATTGTGCCATCAAGGCTGGGCAGAGCTGACTATTTGGCATAAAAACACAGTGCATCATAATAAAATCATTTAAAACAGAATCTGTGAAAAGAGAAGAAAGAAAACAGTCAATTAAGCCCCTGCAAACAGCTTGGGGATCACAAGGATGAGTTTTCTTTCAGCTAAAATATCTTACTAGCCCTCCGCAGATAATAAAGGAAAATATCTTACTAGCCCCCTGCAGATAATAAAGGGGTCTTTTGCGCTTTATTTGTAGGCATTAAGTATTAAAATGGGGAATGAACAAATATGAGCTGAAATATTAAGCTTTTATTCTTGTCTGCATGAATTTTATTGCACTTATGTTAACAGGCATTTACCTGTGTCAAAGGAAAATTTGGCACAGAAAAAACCCAAAACCCAACCATCTGTGCGAAAGTGAAATATTTGGATATACTTCTCTACAAGTGTAGAGATCTTAGCATCAGAAGAATCAGACCTGCCATGCCTGGATACCTAAGAAGTGCTGCTGCATTTGGCTTTAGGGGACTACAACCAGACAGCACATATAGTATATACTGTATATACTACACAGGAGAAGGCAAATAATTTAATTCTTTGCTGATTTCCTAGCAATGAGCAGAAGGCCTAAAAGACATAAATGGACAGTCAAACATCTGGTTTTATTTTGATTCAAAAGTATCACAGCTGCTACATTTACATTAAAACGTATATGAACAATATGATATTTTCTCTGGCAAAAAATAGCAAGCTATTTTTTCTGTTAAAATGATCTGTGGTAGCCCTGGTGTAAATCCCAGTTTGCCTTATCTTTGTATTTGTGACAACAAGGATTTATAGAGCCTGGCTGCAGAGGCCAGAATAAGTTTGGCAGTGAGAATAAATTTTTTTTTTACTTTTCAACTATGCAAGTCTTATATGGAATCACTGAGAAACAATAAACACAAAGCCCTGGGGTATCATTTCTACAGTGCAACTTTTGAGATAAGACAAACTTTTAAAACCCCTGTAAGTAAGGGATGTCAGAAAAAATATGGTGAGATCACTGTGTAATGTAATATTACATCATTGCTTCCGCTGTAATTCATATATGAAAATATCTCTCAGTTGACAAAACTCACCTCTGGAAGGGTTAGACGTTTTCTTTGCATAATATCCAGAGCAAGGTGGATTTTAACTGTTCTTAAATTAAAGGAATGCGTAAACTAAAAATTCAATTTTCCAGCATTCTGAGCTTCTATATCCTAAAAATAGCTTTTTTTGTGAACTGTGACATTTTGCATCCTATTAGGATAGAGGTATAATCTTGTTGGATGTTTTGGGGAAAAGTTTTGAAAGATTTAAAAAATAATTTGTTTTAGAAAAATCTTTAATACATGCATACTATGAATAGTAAACTTGTGATTATATACTTTCAGGCTTAAAGAACAACATTCTGCTTGTAATCCTAATAGGTATTTATGAAAAGGATCATTTTTATTCTTATAAGTGGTTAAAACACAAACTGTAAAAGGATTTCTCTAATCTTTCAATTCTTCCACCATTTATGGACCGCTACACAGTTTTCTCCAATACTATGAGGTCAGTAACAGATTAACTGGATTTAAGAACACCTTTGAATATATACTTCTTCGACATCTGCAGTGTAACAAGAACTTGCTAAAGCAATACTTTAGCATAATTAGGAGGATTTTTTTGTGCCTGACTCTTTTTAAAAATTAAAATACTTACTAATAGTAAGTCAGCAAATATCTATATCCCTAGATGTAAATTCTCTTTTCTCTTTACACTAAAGAAAAGCAGCCTATTAAGTGCACCTGCAGCAACCTGCATTCTTGGGACTTGGCCCATGGTGCGCTGAGTTCTTCTCTTTTGAGTAACAGTCCTTTCTCTGCACATGGAAAAGTATTACAAACAAGTAATTTAAATTGTGGTACTTTAAATGATGCGATATGGATATGTAAATTTGGGTATACTTATACTAGCATAATGCAATGGCTGGAGGTATCAAGCTAGTTCACAGTATTAAGCAACACTTAAGAACAAGAAGCATGAGTACCATTATCATCAGGTGGCAATGCATGCTCTGTCCTGGCCTTATAGTTGTGCCTAATTAAAGTCATGACTAGTGGTCTGGCACCTTTTGAGATTTTGCTGTTCTACTCTGAACCAGAAGTACAAATACAACAGAGCTGGCTAGGAAGAGTGGATTGTCATCTTTAATTCTGGATTGCCTAGGTTTTCTTGGGTTGTTTCAGAGCGGTGGACAGTTCTTATTCTGGGCAAAACTACCACTAGCTGCTTTTCAAAGCGTCACATTGCAGTGTTGCCCCAGCAAGATCTTATGTAGTAATAATAACACAGCCTTTGTCATGTAGATACCTGTTGCTTCATTTAAAGTTGCTTCAAGGCGCATAGTTTCTAGAAAGTGCTCTAAAATTTTCTCTGGGGTTCCTGACATCACAATATACCTGAGGGAGGGAAAGGAGCAGTTAGTGTCTCACAGGCAAAAGAGCTCATCAAGAAACAGTTGCGTTCCAGTGAGAAGATCAGGACTGAAGAGTGCCAGAGTCCTGCTCTGACCGGAATCTCTGTGTGACTTAGGCCAAAACCACTCACAATCTTTGTCAGCTTCCCCTCCATAAAATGGGAGCAATAACACTCTCCACCTTACCCAGGCAGTGTGATATGACAGACAGCCTCCTGCCCGCACAAGTACTCCAGTATAACACCACCATAGTTACACCACAGCCAGCAGAGCTGCACTGGTGCAAACTTGAGGAAGTACAATCAGGCACGCTTCTCCACTGAGAATAAATTTCTCATTAATGATAGCAATTTGCAGTCATTACAGGGTCTTAACAGACTTAGTATGAGCGTGAAATGAGAACTGGTGTGTATCAGTGCCAGAGCGAGGGGACAATTTCTTTTAACATCATTGACGGGATAGTCTGAGAAGATGGGGGCAGATAATGAAATAGCACACTGTATCTTCAAATTTGTGCAATGCCTTAGATAGCTGAAGTAAGTAAGTTTTGCAAGTGGATAAACTTAGGATTGTACCATTTCCTGGAGTAAATTTAGGGAGGTGAGAGAACAAGTACAATAGTCAGGTTTTTCTGCTTCATGCAAAAACACTAGCAACATTTTAAGTACCAGCAGAATATCACAGGATATTGCTAAACTTATCCTGTGGTCTTTTTTTTCTTTCCTTGCAGATCAGATTTTTTATCTTTCCCTCCATTCTTTCAATCTTTGCATCTTTTTTTTCTTTTTTTTTCTGGAATCCAACTGATAAAGTATGGAACTTTAAAAAAAAAAAAAAAAAGAAAGAAAAAACCCCGAGAAGTGAAGATACTCTGCTCCTGCTGAGAAATAAGTGGTGGAGCTGAGCTCCTGGGAGCTCCTCCTCACTTTGAGCGCTGACCGTCACAGTTCTTTTACCTGCCAACCCCTTTGGAAGAACTGTATTGATGTCCCAAGAACACAAACACTTGTTAAGCCAGTGCACATTCTCGCAGAGATACTAACCAAGTATCTGAGTGAGTGAAGCAGAGAAATCACAGGTTGCTGTACTCTGAATATGAAAGTGAAAATGAAAAGTGAAGTGACTTGCAGGGCTGCTGAATTCATCCTGCATGAGTGTGATCACCCATAAAGAGTTAGATCTTGGAAGTGAGAACTTCAGACCTAATCCTTCGAAGCGAAACTGCCACTGTTTGAAAGCATGGCTTGGGGAGCTATGTAGGAGCTGTGCCTCCTCAGTAGAGGAGGCAGTAGAATCCAAACTGCAACTCAGAGGATCTGCTCCCAAAGTGAAGTTTCTTGGTTGACTGGATATCTCAGGGAACAACTTTGGGATGCAGAACATTTCTCTAGTGCAAATGCTACGTACCTACTTAGGGAGCAAAGCCCAAAGGTCAGCTCATCTGAAGAGATGTCAGAGATGTAAGCAAACCAATTAAGGGCAAAGCAGCAAGCCTTTAAGAAGAGGTCCCTGCTAAGGGGACTCTTTTCGCACAGTGATTTTTCAAAACTGCCGAACACTCAACTAACACATTCCAGTAACACATTCTGGAAATCAGAATACATCAGTAACTTTGATTTGGACTCTCAAGCATCAGTGTAGCCACTTACTGTATTTACTAACAAAAGAAACAAAAGAAATGTCATCTTCAAAACCAGTGAACTCACTTTGAAAGATTTTAAACAAAAAGACGCTGCCAAGACACTATTAACAACGTAATGTGACTGCTGAAAAGTAGACAGTGAACTTTCAAGGTAGCTTCCTCTTTTGTGTAGCTTATGTCTATTTGTCATTGTCATCAGCAAAAGCTCCCTTGCTGGCACATTGATAGTACCCAAAAGCTGATCAAATGCATCAAATATTTACAGAAATGAAATTCTGAGCTTTACCTGAAAATATGCCTGGAATGCAAACTGTAAAATACAGCCTAACTTAATCAGGGACCATAAATGTCTGTAGCTATATTTTTTATGCGCAAGGAAATATTAAATAATACAACTCATGCTGGTGTAAAGAGTTTGCAAGGAAGGTAGTGTTTGAAATATGTTTAAATGAAACTTTCACTTTTGAAAGCATGAAAAATAAATCAGATCCAAGAAAATGGATTTAAATCTGTGACCAAGTTGCTGTGCATTGCAGTTGCTGATGCAAATCCACTGGCTGCAGTCAAGTTCCCCTCATTTAGACAAAGAAAAATTTGTTGTAAGAGTACATGTTTTCCTGGTAGCATAGTTTGTTTTTCTAATAGATCAAGTGCAAGTTGAAATAGCAGTTTCTGAAATATGTGAAATGTGTATATAAAATAAAAGGAATGGTTTATTCAACCCTTCACAGATCTTTACCAATCTTTATATTCAGTCACGCAGATAAAATAGGTATAGGAAATCCCAGATCAGATAAAATCTGTACCCAAAATATCTCACAGAGAATTAGCTCTTTCTTTGAGAAAAAATAAGGTCCAGGCTAAAGGATTCAAAACTTCCTGGTGCTTATTTTGTTGGAGTTGTTTGAGTATTTCTGAAGAAAATTGTGCAATTGCAAATAATACATTTACAAAGTCTTTAGGGGTTTTACCAATATTTGGAATGATAATAGCCTCACTCTACTCTTATCACAGTAGTATCCAAACAGAATTGTATTTTTTCCCTTTCAGTAAGAAAGTAAATAAAATATAATGAATATTGTTATTACAGTGCAAATCTATTCTGTAAGATAAGCTCTGTGACTTTCATTGCATGAGATCTTCATTTTGTATAGAAATTGTACCTAGCAAACTCTTATTAGAATCCAGAGCTCAAAATCCAAAATGAAAATATCTGTACTTAACAATAAAACAATGTATTTTCCTCACGCCTTTTACACAGTAGCTCAGCGTAATAAGGTTTCAGCATTCTCCATGTGCAGTCTATTTAGAAGCTATTACATGAGATGATAAGTATTTACAGTGAGATCTTTAGAGAATTATTGTGTAAAAACATAAAACTAGTGTGCAGCTGGAAATGGATACATTATCCAGTATGGGGCATGTGATCAGCTGATGATTAAAAAAATAAAACTTCATATGCATTGCATTCTTCCATAGAAAGGGGGAATATGCTATTGTTTGGATAATAATACCATATGAAAGGTTAATCACTGTCTGATATTTGCACTATTGAATGAAAACATACTTGTGCTGAGGCTGTGAATTTCCTTGATTAGAAACTCTGTTTCCTGCTGGGATCTTCTCCAACACCAAGACATCTTGGTCATGTTCTTTGAGTCTTACTGTATTTGCTTCCACATCCTGCAAGACAAGTTACTTTTAATAAAGTAATTGCACCTGAGTTCTCTGATTAGTTACTCCAAAAAGCGCATGACTTTCAAAGACAAAAGACTCTGGGGTTGGTTCTTTTCCCCTGTATTTATCTATCTTTATTCTGCTTTTCTCACAGGCAGAATCAAGAGGCAACCACTGGCACTGGGGGAAGAGGCAGAGAATTGTGGGAGGGACTAGAGCAAGAACCATGTGAAAAATCTCTGACTACAGCAAAGGAAAAAAAGTTTGCCAAAAAACAGAGTCCCCCCTCAGACTTTTCACGTGCAATGTAATCTCTATCCCCACTTATATGTGAGCATTATTATCTATAATCTTGACTTTTCTCTTTAAAAAAAAAAAAAGAAAATTACACTTAAAATTGGTAAGTCTTAGCTCAGTAAACTGTCAGTAAACTTTTCATTTTCTACTATCAGATCATAGTAGAAAAAGAAAAATAGAAGAATTAAATATAGTATGCATTCAAATAACACAAATGAAAACTGGCAAGACCATGGACTTTGATCTTCCTTGAAGTATCGCCCAAAGCTAAATCAGTTGAGAGCCTCCATGGTCAACCCAACCTTATTGCCAATGGGATCCTCGTTCCCTTTTGTATAGTAAACACAATCTTATGTCATTTCTCTAGCACAGTAATCTGTATGGATTAGTTTTATTGCTGCAATACTGGGCATGTATACATTTGAATACAGGATGATATCAGTTTTGACTTCCTATACTCTAAATGATTGCAAAACAGCCTGTATTTATAGAATTACAGCTGGACTTTGGAACATATTTGACCTAACGTGAATATCTGTAAAATTAGCCTGGGAATATCTTTCTAGAGCTCTCTGATAAAGACATCTGTGTATTTACCTGTAGATTACTTAATTTGCCACTTGATTCTGCCTTAAATCTATTGATTTTAAGGTACCTCACACTGACCTATCTGGAAGAATGGGTGATCTTGTTTTATTCAATATTTGGATGGAAGATCACCCAGAAATCCTGGACAGCATAAAGAAAAAATAAACACTTGGCAAATTCTAGACCACAGAAATGTGAGAGACAAAAGATTCCTGTTTGTCCCATTTTCATGGCTGAGCTAGGAACAGAAAAAGAGGAAAGATTATTAATATATTCTTTACTTGATCTTCCAGACTGTCACATCTCTGTTCATCTAGAAAAATCCATGAGTTCTGATATTATGCTGTCGGGGCGGCCCTTCCCACTCTTACCCTAAGGATCCTGTTGAAGTCCTCCTTGTCTACTCTCAAGAAGTGGCAGTTGTCTTCACGCAGAACAATGGATGCTGCTCTGGGAGCATCATTCACAAGTGCTAACTTGCCAAAATCATCTCCTTCGTGTAGAGTACATACCACACCCTGCACAGAGCAAAACATTTACATGCAGAAACCCATCATTACTCTGGATTCTATTGAAAGTCCTTGTACAAACACCGGACTTCACAATCAAATACCAAAACAAATCTATTTGGCAGGAAATCAACAGCCAAAATAATGACTAGGAAACAATACTTGATAGCTGGTTATTACTATTACTAAAGAAAGGCAAGAATAGAAAAGAATTGGCTTATTCTCTGAAATTACATTCAGCTTGAAGGACTCTTCTAGCTCTGCTGAAGACAGAAAGTTGTTGAGTTGTTTGGTTTTTATTTATAGAGGCCCTAAAAAATAAGATCAAGTTTGCAGAAATAACATATAACACCACATCCTCAGCTGGTATAAATCAGCAGAGCTCCATTTACTCCAATTTATAGTAACAGAGGATCTGGCTCACACAGTGATATAAAAAATGTAGCTAAATATGGGTTACTTAGGAACATACTTAGCACCTGGGCCTCTATCCTAAATTTTGGTGAAATGCTTGGTGTTCAGAATGGAGAATTCTCACTCACTGAATGAGAAATCAATAGGGAAGTAGGGATTTTTAAAGTCTCAAGGGATTGCTGTGTACCAAAGTCCTATTTTTTGCCTTGAAAAATCTCTCTCATAAACAGGAAATTTAATAGAGATGCTTTTCAGTCTATAGCTTAACTAAAATGAAGAGCTGGCATAAATTTGGGAGGGGTTCATCCAACCTGAGAACCACTAGTCACAAAGCAGTACTTCTGTCAGACATGCCTGACATGCTTGAGGGAAGTCAGTCATACAAATGCAAGAGAATAAGGTGGTAAAGGGACAGGGCAAAAACCCCCATGAGACAGAAGTCTGGCAAATCACCAAATTCCAGCAAATGACTTTGTCCTAAAGATACTGATGTAACTCTGATGAATTATATTCAGAAAGTGTGTAATATATCCCGAAATTATACAGCAATCAACTGGAAGTATAATCAGTGAAACCACTGGATCATTTCTTAATAAATTACGTTCAATTTGTTTCCTCAGACAAAGCAATTTTGCTCTAAATTAAACTGTATTCCTTCAAAGTTTACTCTTACAATTTCAATAATAAGAATCATATAAAAAGGCTTTTGAAAAAAATACCTTGCCATAAATGACTACGTTTACTGATCCCTTTAGGATAATGTACCAAGAAGTACCTTCTTCTCCCTGATTAAATACTACAAGAGAGAGAAAAGATTTTATGGTGAGAATATAGTTATTCAAAATATAAATGGGCCAGATTCTGCACTCAATAAAATTCAAGGTAACTCTACTGCAGTCATATTAATATCTATCTTGAAAAAGGGCATACTATGATTTTAAAACCAATTGCCTTTAGATTTTAGAAAAAACCCACACCCATATAGTAGTAATTTTATTACACTGATGTGAAAGTTGCTTTTATTTTCCATGACAATTGCAACAGGTTATCAACTGCTAATCAGCACACAGATTTGGATCCCACCAGTAGGACCATGGTCTAACCCATTCCTCTAGTGGCTGTGAATTTGACATTAATTTCTTAAAACTTCTCAGTTTAAACAGGTCTGAGTAATCTAACACTTTAAATCCTTTATTTTGTGCAGCAAGATTATTTTTAATACAAGGATAATATTAAAATACATTTTAAATAGAGATTGGTCCAACCCAAAATTCTAGACAAAAACACACCCAAATTGTAGATGATAGATACATCCAACCAATGATATAGAATTAATTTTGGTACTATCCCTGCAATAGGCAACAGACTAAGCCAACACTCATTACCCCAGGTTTTAAACACTAAGTGCTAGTCAAGTTTGAAGATTGCATCCAAGTTTTGCTCTTGTCATTTAAACATTAAGAATTAAAATGGTCATGCCACAGATGAGAAAGAAGATCTGACAGGATTCCATTTACTTACAGACCGTCCCTGCTTTGGGATGTGACTCAAAAATGAGGACACCTGCTAATTCTCGCTTTACCTTAAAATAAAGAGAGAGAAATTATAGTTTTTATATGTATCTTATTCTTCCCTTCCTTCTGCATCATTCAGCACTCATTCAGAGTCACACAGCCAGACAACCATCTGCTTCACTTGATGTCGTATTTCCTACTGATTGCCTTTACAGAACATGAGCCTCTACATTTCCTGGCTCCAAATGCCTCAGACAAAGGCATCTTTAAGATACAGGTCTCCGCATCTTTCTTCATGCAAACACATGTGGGACCATTATTAACACATAACATTAACATAATGGAAAACTTCAAACAGTAATAGCTGATCTATTACAGAAGATAGCTAGCAACTGTCAATTACCCCATGGGGCTTTGCGGTACTCCTGTTCTTCCCTGAGAAATCTGTACCCTTCCCCTTACTGACGTAAGTCTGTCCCCTTCTGCTGCGTGGAGCTGTGAGGCACAGCCATCTGGCCCTGCTGAGGCCCCTCTCTGCCTCACAGCCTCCCAGGCAAAACGTCTGGCTCACTACCTCCTCCAGGAACCGGAGAACGTGACACTGCCCTTGCTGTCAGCCTGCTCCTCAGTGGGTTTGTATTGCTCTGGTGTGATTAGCTCTTACAACTGACTGGGCAGTTGCCTCTAGTGACACACTGTTTACAACTGCTTTTTCTCACTGTAAACACTGTCAGTGTTACTTTCACAAATAGTAGCAGCACTGGGAACATCATATTATCCTGAGTTTTCCCATGTGTTTTATGTCTCTCTTCATACAACCGCAAGTCTCCAACGACTTGGAGGCCAATTTCCAAGCAGTGGGATTCTTGTTTTCAGAGAACGTCAGCTGGTGACAATCCATGTTTCAGAGGTAGTACCGTGTAACTTAACCGTGCCAAATACAGAACAAAAGCTGGCTCCAACATCTATATAGTAGTAGTATTTTCACACCATTCTCCCAACTGCTTAAATTGAAAAAAATGTTTAGGCCATGAAGAAAAACTCAGGGAGGAACTCGCAAATTCTGTACACGATCCAGATTAGTTTGGTGGCTGCATCTCCTAAGATGGGCGGACAAATTCAGGCTCTGATGTCCTAAAGGCACCCACCAAACCTCTGCTCAGGCACCAAGCATTAATGTACCACACCAGCCACTTCTCCCAGAACTCCTTCCTGACAGCCAGTGCAAAGCACTCCCTGTTTGCAGTCTGGAGGAGGGACAAATAGAGGTGTTTGGACAGGTTTTTTTAGTACACTGACCAGTGAATGCACCCACAGGCCCGTGATTTCTATATCAACTAGCTCACCAAACTCTTTTATAAGCTCTGCCCGAAGGCAATGACACTTTCATAAGGACAGGAAATACAACCCCATTGGCACTGTTCTGCACATTGTAGAGAGCGTTCCTATCCATGTACGTCCTCAGATGTCTTCTCAGCTGTTTCAGTCATTTGCCTCTGCAGTGAATGAATCCTCTTGATGAAGCCAAGAATTAGATTTGGTTTTAACACTGTATTATATAATTGTTTTTCATTCATACATTAACTTCACAGGCTTCTCTAGCAGGGATTAGTTCACCACCATGTGACTTGAGTTTCATCCATTTTACTTCCTGCTGCTTGTGACATATCTACAAAACTTACTACTTTAAGAGTTATGTCTTGCTTAAAATGAGTAAGCATTCAATTGCTTTCAAGTTGATTGACCATTAATCTTCTGGTTCATAGAACCAACGCTGTCTGTTGTTCCTCTGAATTCCTCTAAGCTAGTCACAGTTCCTGTCCTCTGCTTTAGTTCATGCTGCACATAACAAATTCTTACTAAAGACATGGAATCAATTGCACTGTATTTCTTGCAGTTTGTATCATTTGTCATACTTGCTCTATATGCTACTTGCTGTGAATTCTCACCTCAAGTCTGAATTTCTTCTGAGCTGGAAATATTTTGTGTTTTGGATTTTTTTTGTTCTGGGTTGTGTCTGTAGTATCAAGAATGCTCTCTGCTCCCTCTCAGTACCTGTCTATCTTGGGTGGTTTCTTTTGTTTGATTTGAAAAGGGTAATTTCTAGATCTTACAGAAGTTTTTCTCTAAAGACTTTTTTCCTACATCCCAGAGATGCTTAAGGATTTTGGCTGGCTGTTCCCTCTTAGTTCAGTTACCAACTCTGGATGCATATTCTTTTTGAAAAACATTGCTCAGATGTTATATGGTTGCACAGAGTACTATCCTTCTGTAATGCAGCTTCATAATTAGCTGCATCTGCCCAAATTAGCTGACAATTATGGAAAATATCAAGAGCTTTCAAAGAAGCTATTGTCAAACATAAATCTACTTTCTGACTGGCTTCCTTTTCTTGAAAGTACCTACATCTTGCTGCTACCACATAAAATGCTATTTAGTTTGTTTCAGTTGCCACAACAGTGTGTCAACAATGGTGAGACTTTAAACAGTTGCATTCTCTCCTCCAGGAATTTTCTCCATTTCATTTATTCTTGGTTCTCTGAACTGTTCTTGCTTACTGAGAGAGAAGGTGTCTGATGAGGTTTCCTTCACTCTAGGACCAAACTCCAACCAGCTTGCACTGCACAGTACACCTTTCTGCACCATGTAATTCCTCCTCCTAACTGCCAAGACTCAAGCCAAGACTTCTTGTTGTTCAGAAATCAGTCATCTGTTCAGCAAAATTCAGTAGCACCACAGTCCCAGGTGTCAGGTCAGATTGTATGCATCTTAATTTAAACTCAGACATGGACCCAGATGGAGGCACCTATGCCATGTGACTGAGGTAGGGGCTGTGCAGAAATATATGAAGAGAATTATATCTGATATCCAAAAGACAACCTACGTCTGCCTAGTGCTTGGGTGGTCCTCACAGGCGGGAATGACTTCTTTGCATGGAAAGTATAAATGGAAAGGGTTGTAGGCACTCCAATTCTAATAAAGCACCAGAAGTCATAATTCAACCTCCCTTTTGGTGATGAGTTGAATTTTATAAACACTTACTGTGGTAGAAAGATGAGATAAGGCCTTAATGTGAAGAAGTTCTTCATATATAATTTCTAAGTCATCTACAGTTCTCTGGCCAGGTCTATAGAGAAAAGATAAAAAGGACAGCAAAATGCAATAAATGCCCAAAGTAAATGCTTCAGAGAAGTAGAAAACAACACAAAATGCTGTTTTACTGTCTACTGAAGTGTACATCCTCACTAAACAGGGAGTGAAAGATGGTTCCGGCTAGAGGACTTAAACACACAAAGGGTGGAAGCAGTATGAAACCACCTGAATGACATCGAGCAGCAGCCATGGCAACCACTTTAGAGAGACCCTGATTAGGCAGCTTTCCTGATGAAATCAAGTGTTCTATATGTTAAATGGTCAGATAAATCAGAAATGGTACATAAAGATCTGTTCCTTTCAAAAGGACACCCAAGCGTGGGGCCTGCACTATTTTTCACATGTGGCATTAATTAGTTGTAGCAAACAGACAGTAGTAGTGGTTTGTAAAGGAGTGTGAGAATTTCTGCTGAACAAATTGCAAGAGGCAGCAGTGCATCTTGGAGGACAGTAAATGACTGTGATAGAGTTAATGCTGAGTGCTGCTGTTTAGCCACAAAGGTAAATAAGAACCACTCCACAGTTTCAACTTCTGTCACTGAAAAATACAAGATGCTGCCATTAATAAAAAGCATGCATTGATGAAGGAATAATCCTCCTATAGCACAACAAGGAACGAGGCTGCCACTGTGATGGAAATAATTGCATTTCTGTAGTCTACACACTGGAAAATTTTCTGATTGTGAAAAAAGGACACAAATATTCTGAGGACTGCAGTATGTCAGAGATGCTTTGGAGGATCTAATAAATAGTATTCATGAGAAGGAGCTTTAGGAGCTTGTGAGTAACTCCTAATCTTTTTCCCACTCACAAGATTCTCTTCAGTTAAAGTATCTAACACAACTTTATTTTCTAAAAGGACAAATTCTCCTGTGATATAATTTCAGACAGCACATTGGAGTTACATACACACATACAGAGAAAGAATCCTTTAAAGCGTTATTCTAAGTTACTTTTACAGGACTAAGTCCTTTCAAGCAATATGTTTCAGATTTGTGAAAAGCAGAATATAAGTAATTAAATCACTGGGCCAAGAATATAAGAAAAGAGAAACCTAGTTATAAGAAGGGCAAGAGGATAACTTTAAGATGTGAGGAAATGGGATACAGGAAGTCCAGTCGAGGGGCAGGAGTTTCCAAGAAGGTTTACACACTCGCATTAAGAGCAGGCTAGTGTACAGTTCCAAACCCCCGCACTGTCTGCAATGTGTGGTGTCAAAAGAATTAACAGTACAGTTGAATCTGGACAACCCTAAAAGAAACATCACAATGAACCTTTCTGATTGAAGTTTTCCTATTAAAATGACAGTATTACAGGAGATTCTAGCATCTAGAGGATCAGGAAAGTCACATAAAGAAATAGAGTACTCTATAGGTTTTCTGCCTAATCACCTCTTGGTTCTTGCTCTGTCTAAAGTATGTGTGAGGTAGAGGGAGTATGCAGCAGTTGTGTCACTCCAGAGTTATATTGCATCTTTTTGCAAAAGAAGTTGGATGGGCTCTTCTTTTGGATTAAGGAAGTACTGGAGAAGTCATAGAAAACATAAGGACATCTGACATCATCTCTGCTAAGCAAGCTATATTTTTCATCTGTTCTTCACATACCAATGACTACATTTATCAGTCCTCAGATTAAAGACCAATTTAGACAAAAAATCATTTTGGATTGAATTATTCTCTTCTCATGCAGAATGGAATAAACTGTTAAGGGAGAAACAGAAACTGGTTTGGTACTGCTATGCCCTCTAGTGACTCTTTGCTATTTCTAAATCTGGCTTGAAATTATAAGGCTGCCACTCCTAGTGATTTATGTGGAGCAGTAGCAGCTTAATTAACAAAGCTAAGCCAGTACTAGCTACTTTTCACTGGAGATTTAAGAAACACAAGGTAACGATTTTAACAAACAATACTTCCCATAGAAAGTAACAACTTTGTTTTTATTACATGCTTGTAAAGCCAGCATGTCTTGGAAAATGGAAAACATAGTGTAACTAATTAACAAATTTCTACATGTAATTAAAATATAAAAGAATGATCAGATCTCTCTCAAGACAAAAGGGTACACTCTTCTTTCAGTATGTCCATTTGCCTACAGTGTTAGCACATTGGGAGGACTGACAATCTATAGTGGATATGTACCCAGTCTTTACTTCTGCTCCTGCAGACATCACGTGGAGAGATATTAGGCATCACTGCTTCTGTAAAACCTGTGTGGTGACCCACTGATGTTGATTTGTAGGATCCTGCTGTGTAAAGACCTAGTTTCTGCAGGGGATGCATTCTAACAGCAATAGCTGGTTATAGACAGGATAATAAATGGAATAGGTAGAGAACGAGGCTACACATTAATGGTCAGGAGAACTCAGGTGATATTAAGTGATCAATAAAAACCATTCAGTGTTTGGAGAATTTATCAAGGTCAGAGACATTGAGCTCCTCTGTGGCTAGGCATGTTGACAATAACATAGTACTTTGCCATTGATAAACTATGTACGTTCAAACAATATCATTGATTATTTTTATTACACAGCTACCCAGAAAATTCTCAGATAATAAGAACAAGAGAAAAGATCAGAGACCCCCACAACATTGTGATTATACATCAAATAAGCATATATTTCCACAGTACAAATTTTGTCTTCAAGTACCATAAAGAATATATAGGAGACATGAATAATTTTACCTACTACCTGTGTCTGAATGTGAAAGTGAATGCATGTTCACTTACTCTAGCACAGAAGCTAATTACGTAATCTTTGTATTTGAATCGGTGCTCCTTGATTAACTCCATAAATACCATTTCCCACATATAATACTTGTAAACGTCAGTGAACTGATATGTGGAAGATAATCTGTATTTCCTGTCCCAGGAATAACACTTGGTTTATTAAATGTTCTTGGCAGGAAACTCCACCAAGGACTATGGAACTTAATACAGTCTTTATGGAGAAATCCGGTGTGGTTCTTACCAGTAACAGCTGGGTGGAATATCGAAATAAAAATTTTTAAGAACAAGAGAATAAATATGTCTTGCTTAATTTTTCCAAGACCTTCAAGAAGCTATAGATTCTTAGCAATAATTAAATTGTTATTTTATTATATATACTTTTTGTGCTCTTTACCATGTTTGGATTTGTTTTCACTTCCTCTCCCTAGCATCCTGTCAAGTTACTTCTGCAAGTGACACTAAAATTTGATCATATGTGGAATCAAAAAGTCTTTGTACTGAGAAAAAAATTTGCTGAGTGAAGTCACCAAGAATATATAACACAGATTTATTGTTTCAATCAACATAGCAATCATATTGCTAACATACTGTAGCCTAGAGTATTAAAAAAGAATATAATCCATACCATCATCTGAGTTAAATGCTGTTGTCTGATGAATACAGTTTTCCCTTTAAAGACTCCTGCTATTATTGTTTAGCTTTGTATTACAGCATCCTATTTAATTAGGGTTTACCATCAGTTAGCTATATCTGAACATGATTAAAATAAAATAAAAATAACTAGAAAAATGTTTTCAGGATGTATTTTCATATTGAAGGATTGCAACACTTGTAAGGAAGAGCTGTGTTAATTCCACAGTATTTTTTCCAGGGACTTGCTCAAGGTCTGCACCTGTGCTCCAGGCATTATAATGACCAGAGAGCTGTGTCTGCTACTTCACAAAAAGCTATTTTCACATTCACAGTGTATGTGTTTCCAAAGAAAAAAAAACCACCCAATAGCAACAAGAGCCTGCCAAAAATCTCCCTGAGCTCTATTCTGTTTTTTAAACTATAGAACATTCTTTCACAGTTTGACAGTTAAAATGCTGCAGTTAATGTAATAAACAGAGAATTTTTTAAGTCGGCTGTCAAAACAAGTGACACTTTTTGCTAGAGATTTTCAGATTTTGAACAATAGAAAGTACCTTTCAAAGCAACAGCTTCATTATACAATCAAATTCTCAAAGTAATCTTCTCATCAAAGAATATTGTCTTATTTCTTTCAGGGTAATTATCTGAGTTCTGCAACCTCTCCAGAAATGGTGACTATTACAAAATGCAGCTGTGTTGGTTTGAAAATTGTGGGTCCTGTTCAGGTCAGCTAGAGCCAGTGTCTCTGAAGCTCTGACAATTCCTTGAACTTTTGGCAGCTGTAATGGTGTCTAGTCAAAACTAGCAGGACTCTGAGGATTCATGGAGATTTTAATAGCTTTGATACAGCTCAGCCCAGGGTGGATTTTCAACTAACAAAATCATAACGTGTGTAAACTGAATACCAGAACAGTAGTTAATATGGTGCCTGACAGTACAAGCTTGCTTCCATGAGCAAATGGCAGAAAAAATAAGCACTTTCAGAGACAGGGAAAGATGTCAGATGGCTGTCAGTCTTGAGAAAACCTCTTTCCCCTCACTATATTGCATGAAAAATCTCCTACAAATATTCTTTCAGGTGATGCTGTGCAAGTGACGACTCAGAAGGGAGACCACTACTTTCCACAGCATCATTCCAGCCTTTTAGCTCTCTGCAAGGAGTGTGGATGATAATCAACATTGATCCTACCAGGGTAAATTTACAGTGGCTGCTCTGAAAGTCATGATGGAAAGCAAATGTAGTAGGCAGCCAAAACCCATGATAACCTAAGGGGGCAATTCTCCAAGAGCCAACCTGCTCAGTCCGCCTGAGGCAAAGGAGATAGTGCAGAGGTGTAAGGTCACAGCTCACGGTCTCCTAATGACTGGTGTCTGCTCATGGGTGCAAGAAGCCCTCTCTTGCTCCTCAGTGGAGAACTGAGACATCTCTGTGAGGAGAAAACACCTCAATTCCCTGACACCATAAAGGTTTATGGAAGCACCATGCTCCCAGTCAGGCTTGTCTATGTATTTTCTGTGACAGGGAGTGAGTGGTCCTTTGGTTGTGTTTGACTAGACCTCTAATAAAAAGAGGAAAGAGAATTTATACTTTTAAAACTATTGCTGCATGGCAGTGTTACTTGTTTTCATAAGCACAAGTATCTGATGGCACTTTTTGAAATTCAGTGCTTTTAGCAAGTTTTTGGGCAAAGCGACGTCTAAATGAGCTTATGATCTAAAGAGACAACACAGGGACAAGAATGGAGCGGGGAAAAGATACAGATGGAAACACAACAGGAGCAAGCACTTGTGTTAAACAAGATTCAAAACATTTTTAGTATAAAAAGTGTTCTCACATTGTAGGCAGGGCCCAATCCTATCCCGTAGCAAAGACAAACTTTGCCAATGGCCTCAAAGGAGCAAGATCCAGCTTTGTGTACTTATCTTTCTTTATCTGACCCTTACAAGTAATCTTCAGTGAAGATGACCTTAAGTAATTCATTATTCTCAGTGCAATTAATTAGCAGTAAAATATGTCTTCAGTGGCCCCTAAACACTACCTGCATAATGAAGAAGTTGCCTTCAATGGAGGGCCAAACAGAGGTTATACCGGTTGCTTTGAAGTCACTATAAAGTTATCTGTAAAAAAGGCCTTTAGCACAATTTTCAGTGTGACCAGAATGTATTGCTGAAAAGATGGTTAGCCAACCGCTGAGTGAGAGGACATGATCTGAGAGCTATGAAAAGATTAGGGAGACATCCTCTGTGGCCTAGGTAGAGAAAGTATTTTTTTTTTTTTTTAATGAGTTGATTTTATAACAATAAGAATGGATAAATAAACCCACAGAGCCACATTTCATACCTTGCTAGCAAACTACAACAGGCCAAGTCCAGCCTATCTTAATTCAATAAAGTTATACCAAGGATGAATCTAATTAATGGCTGCCACTGATGACTGTAATTGAAAGGTACCTGCTGTGCTGCCATCCCACAACTCTACTCACTCACAATAACTGAAAGCAGCATAGCTAATTGAATGGCACATCTACACAGAACGTGTTAACAGATCAGGACTCTTCTATTACCTGCAACTTACTTTTGGGGAGACTCAGAAATGAAATAAAACCTCCTAATGCAGCATTTTCCTCAAAGTAAATATGATGACTTTTGATGGTTAATCTCAACACACAGTTCAACTTATAAGCATGAATAAGGACTGGAAATTACTTAATATGGACTTAAAAACTTTAGAGGTTGAACAAACTGGCACTGAAGTGAAATAACTGGCCAAAGATGTCTGATGATAAATGTAGACTTATCTTGTTTCCATGTCACAAGGAAGGCCCAGGTATAATATTAACTCATTAATCTGCTTACGGTTTTCTGAGAATCATCCTCATATGAGCATCTGGCCCAATCTGAGACAGCAGAAGGACAGTGTCCTGTAGCTCCTCATCACACTCCTTTTTCTCTTCCTCAGTTGGCAAAGGGGCATCTTCACGCTCATCGTCCAAAAATCGATAAAATAAGTATTTGTCTTGAAAGTGGTGCTCCTGATCCACTGAAAACAACATAACATATCAAACACTAAGTTCTCCCCATTAAAGTTAACCTTGTAGAAATCTGTGTAGCATTGTATATGTCACAGATATATTAGAAGGGAAAGAAAGGTACAGAGAACTGCAAGAGTGTGAAACACCTTTATTTCTCACATATGTCCAAATTATGTAGCTTGGAGGGTACACTTTTAAATTGTGTACTACAAATACTTCCTAAAAGGCTTCTATGTGTGTGTGTTGTGGGTGTGTACACATACATTTGTGTGTGTGCACGTGTGTGTTTTTCTTACTAGATCTGGTTTTGTTCTTATTGTTTCAAACCATTTCACTTAACAATTCACACTTGGGAAACAGTTACATCATTAATTTCTAAGAGGTGTTCTCTAGCAAGAGCACAATTGCCCTACGTGTTTCAGACAGGGCTAAAAGGTAACAAAATAATTTAAACTCTTTCTGATGTACCAGAAATGTACATCATCAAGATATAATCCCAGGGGCAAGTCCACTGACCTGCGTCCTGGTGGAAGAACTGAATGGAGAGACTACCAAGAGAAGACTTCTAAAGAGACGCTATGATATGACAAAGGACAAAACCTCGGTCTTCCAAGCAAGTCAGAGGGATGTGCTGGGTTGGATACTGTGATGCAGCTTGTAACAGATTGCCCCTGGGAGTTCAAGGGAATATTTGGCAGGAATTAAAGCTAGAGCCCTCAGGGTAAGGAAGCCATGGAAACAATCTGTCTTCTCAGTGTGGAAATTTCTCCTTGGGATATGGGAAGCCCAACAGAGGATAAATGGAAGTGTACTGTAATAGAGCTGCTCTTCTGAACTTAATAAAACTGTACATGCAAAGCTTCAACTATGAATATTGCTTTAGAAAGCTACCCTTTTGAGGGCTGTAATATCCTGCTACCAAGTAAATCCTGCCAAATGTAAACTGAAAGTCAATGTAAAATACAGTCAGAAAACTAACATAAAATCCCAGATGTCTGCACTGGAATAGTTGGAGTGCTGAATTTGGGAACCATTCCAAAACCATTGAAAATCATTCCAAAATTATGGATCTGAGCAAACACAAATGCTCACATTCACTTCCAAATGCTGCATATCTTTGATGAAGATCAGTTTTGTGTATGGTAATGCATCTCTTGGTTTTGGCTTGAGTGCTATACAGCTCTTGCAATATAATCACAAGCCAATGTACTCCTAAGTATAATTAGTTATCATTATGAATTGTTCATTTACTTTTTAATATTCTCGTAAGTTAAAAAGGTATACTAGCAGCAAGATTCACATAATACTGCCTGTGTGTTGCACTTGTACTTGTGAATAAACGGATTGCTCTGCAGCGTTTCTTTTGGGCTTATGATCCCTTTCTTTTTCATGAAAGAGATTTTCTTTATCTTACCATGGTTAAGAACACCTTCTTCGAGCAATACTTGCCACATGCCAACAGCCTGGGTTCGTGAATGGACACAAGGACTTTGCTGCATCATCCAGTCAACTAGTTCAGTCCCCACACAGCATTGCCTGAAGGACAAATAGAAATTAAAAGGGAGGTAGCCAAGAGAGATCACTAACAGTGTCTGCCAAGAACAGCAATATCTTAAACTCTGTATAACCTTAGTCAAATCTCCCTAAAGAAAAGATAATGTCACCATCTACGCGCATATGCTTGAAATACCAATGAAGGTGTTCAGTTCTGAGAGGATCACCTCAGCAGAACAAGAAGTGTTTTGGGAAATCCAAAGTTCAGAGGATCAGAGTGAGCCTGTGCCACCTGGTGTAAAACCTGTTGCACCAGTGCAACAACCTCCAACCCAGATTTCAAAGGAAACCTTCCCTGTATATCAGGGGAGAGCAAAAGCCTCACACTTTTCAGAATCTTGTGTGAAAACAACCATCTAACACTGCGAAAACTTTGCCAACGAGAACAGCCTCCACAGGAAGAGGGAGTGTTATGAGGGTGCTCCTCCATTTGCAACCAAACTTGGGCCACACTGTATTTGGGGACATTGGTTTGTAGGTGCACAGTGTTTCTGAGGCTCTCTCATGCTGGGTGCTGGTCACCTTGCAGCTCCTGACTGACCCAGAGGTAGACAACAGCAGGCCTCAAGTTCTGGAGAATGCCCAAAAAGCAGGAAAAAGGCAAAAAGCCAAAAGACATGGTCACCAGGTAAAATTTTTTGTCATAACACTCCCTAGCTCAGCAAAACAGAAGCAAATAAGCAATGTGATCAAAAACTTACAAATCTGTAACTGATCACACGTAGAACAGAGAGGAAGCTGGCCAGTCCTTCTAGAAAGGCTCTCGTGGCTCCATGCTTCTCACATCACTTTCAGAGACCAAGGAAATAGACAATACTGAAATTGCTGAAATTTAGCTTAAATAATGCTCTTCCAATTAAAATCCCATTTTGATGACAAAACTTTTCCTCACCTGAATCCAGTCTAAATTTTGGCATTCCATATTTAAAAAAACCCCAAGGATAAAACAGTAAGAGTTTTTCCAAACTATGTATAAGATAAAATGGTGCAGTTGTTTGGACCAGCACTGGTCTTCATTATCATACATGCTCTTTTGTTCTTCTAGAACAATGAGCAATGTCATATCATGATATATTCTCAGTTCAACTCACAAGCTCCAAATACCTTGCATCATATTAAATACATTTTGGACTGAAATATGGAAAATCAATGTACTTATCTCTCAGCAACATATTGATTTACTATTTAGAAAAAGACACGCTCAGAGTTTTTAAACCGATTTTTATTTAAATACACTCTGAATAATGCATTAGGTATTCGATTTAAACATTAGACACTAAAATAAATTGATTGTTCCTTAACCCAACAGTAGATAGATCCCGACTCTTTGAAGTCAGATTCTTATTCTACAAGTGCCATTGTTATCTCACTTCAGCAAGGCAGTGCTGCCACCAGCAGGAAGAGAAGAAAGCCTGGCATTACACTGAAAAAAATATTTTTAAATATAACAGAAAATCTACATAAGGAATGTTTCCCACTAGATCAATTTTCAGAACTCCACACTGAGCAACACCGCTGTAGCAATCAGTACAGTAACGTAATATATTAATGAGCTTTCCTATTATCTCTTACTGATATTGAAAGAGAACAGAATCTACATTTTAACTTGATATTGCACAGAATATTCCAGCTAACTATGCTATTAACTTTGGAAGAGTTTTTGTATGTGAATACTCTGTTCACAATCATGGACTCAATTTCCAGTCAAATTACTTCAGAAAAGATTTACCAGGCCCATTAAAGACTGCATAACATCCAGACTCAAATAGCATCACAGAATAATTTCAGACCTTTTGAGACCTGCAAGTATGGTAAAGCATAAATCACAAATCAGAGGATGGCAGGCATAAAAATTCAGAGACCTCTATACAATCAGCTCACACACCTGTAAGTCTTCAGATGGTATTTACGATCTCTTATCATGTGAGGGGCTCGGGACAGAATTGTATTCCGCAAAATCTTTCCAGCTCTGAGGATCTTTTCTGAAGGAACCTTGGTGATCAGGGAGAAAAAAAAGGGACCAAGACACACAGATTTTAAACCTTCCATAATCTCTGTACTGCCTTCTGCAAAACAAAACACAAGTTCTCTTTTCCCTAAATTAAAAGTCCTTGCACAGATGCTTACTTTTGCAGAGCAATGTAGTATATATTCAGGATTTTAAGTCTCACATACTGTCACAATTTAACCCCAGCTGGCAACTAAGGACCACACAGCCACTCGCTAACTCCAACCCGACAGGATCGGGGAGAGAATCGGAAGAATAAAAGTGAGAAAACTCATGTGTTGAGATAAAGAGAGTTTAATAAGTAAAGTAAAAGCCACACACGCAAGCAAAGCAAAACAAGGAATTCATTCCCCACTTCCCATGGGCAGGCAGGTGTTCAGCCACCTCCAGGAAAGCAGGGCTCCATCACATGTAACGGTTACTTGGGAAGACAAACATCATCACTCTGAAGATCCCTCCCCCATTCTGTCTTCTTCTCCCAGCTTTATATGCTGAGCATGATGTCATATGGTATGGAATATCCCTTTGGTCAGCTGGGGTCAGCTGTCCCAGCTGTGTCCCCTCCCAACTCCTTGTGCACCCCCAGCCTACTTGCTGGTGGGGTGAGAAGCAGTAAAGGCCTTGGCTCTGTGTAAGCACAGCTCAGCAATAACTAAAACATCCCTGTGTTATCAACACTGTTTTCAGAACACATCCAAAACATAGCCCTGTACTAGCTACTATGAAGAAAATTAACTCTATCCCTGCCAAAACCAGCACACATACTTATCACATCTAACAGAAAACATCACTTCAGCTGATACACATTGCACTGTTGGAAATAGGAGTTATTTCCATTTGTCTAGCGGCCTGGCTGTACTGCACACCTATGTCCTATTACCTGGGTAATGGTTTTAGTAGGACGATGTGGGATGTGAGGTTCAATAAGAGGTGTCTGAAAAATAAAATGAAATTAAATACATTTTTAAAGGTTGAGCAGTAAAATAAAATAAAGGCTAAACCAAAAAACTGAACAAAGAATCTGTAAAAACAAAGAATGACGTGTAAGTCCAAGCTCTGCCCAGGGGATGTGAGTAGAAAAAGCTCTCTGAAGACATCCTAAAGACAAACTTGTCTCTTAATGCTCAGCAAACTAAAACAGTGACATGACATGTGAAGATGAATAAACAAATGGATGTTAAACTTTCTAAAGTACTAACAAAGTGTGCAATGGCCAAGCGTCACAGCAGATCTGAGGCTACGCAGGCATAGCTAGCTCTTCTGCTTGCTGCTCTTGACCCGCAGTGGGCACAACAGCATTCCTCCACATGCGGCTGCCTCCGCCATTCAGTCCCTCACCACGGAAACTCCTCCTTCAGCACCGTTTTCTATACAGCTTACGGCGTAACATAAGAAGCAGGAAGGAAGAAAAAGCTCTGCTCCCACTCTCTGTTTTTTCTAAACTATCAGGCCTAGCTGGCAACCCTTTTATAGTTGCTCCCCAGAGCTCTCTGAAATGCAAGAGCACACAGGCCACTCACAGAGACCTGGGGAAGGACTTTCACAAAGGGGCCAGTGAAGGAAAAAGAAAAGAGTAAAGCAGGTGACTTGGTTCTGCAAAGGGAAGAGTGAAAGGGAAGGCTATCAAGGCTCTGCAAGAGAGAGGCAGAGAACGGGGTGAGAGAAATGGGAAAACAGGCACGTAAGAAACAGGTGGAGAGGGGAGACATGAAGCACATGGCACAACACAGAGGAAAAAGGAAAGCAGAAGGTTAAAGGACAGTAGAAAAGGAGACAAAGGAGAACAAAACCAAACCTCGAGCAGCCACCTCAGAATGATGGGAAGACATTTTGCTTTGTTGGGACTGGTAGTTACCAGCACAGACCAAATTTATTTGCAGTGTGAAATGTCAGGAGACACGAGACGAGGGCTGAATTTGGCTGGCGCTGTGGGCTTCCTGACAGGGCAGATCATACCCAACACAGAGGTCTCCTACAAGGGCAAGACCTAGCACCTCGGCCCTTGGCAGCCATGGCTCCCTGGCACCCGTACAGCGACGGCAGGACAGCCAGGTTGGAAGTACGGTGAAACACTTGCTGCGTACTGCTGGGTTGCCGGGTTCAGTTTTCTTAAGCTGGGCATCTGTTCGTTAGCTCCCACAGGATTTTAATGATGTGACAAAGTCCTTGTAGTAATCAAATAGCGCTAGGAGCTACAAATGCACCAGGAGACTATAGGTCAGCTGAGAAGGGGAAAATGAGGGAAGCACATGACAGAAACCAATAAAGATAAGATAATCTTAACGGAGAGGCCTGTATATGGAAAACAATGCATACGTTTGTTCATTTCTACTCATACCTTATAAGAAGCCTCTGAAAAGACAAATCAATGAAATTAAATTGGGATTCCTGAATTTTCTCATTAATAAGTAAGTCAACAATTTTTCAAAGAGTCATTTAAGTTATAAACATTTCTGTTCCACTTGAAGGGTGGCAGAACATCCCTCAATATTTCTTGGTTTCTGGAACTATGTGGAGCATGCTTTAGAAAGTCTACATTTGCAGTTAAAGCATGCTAAAAATAGCTAGAATATTTTGAAAGATGCCTCTAATAGAAACAAAACAATTGAATAACAGCTTCAACAGGTATATAAATAATTAAGTCAGAGATATCACTCTGAGTATTAATAATTTTTGCTTCCATTTTCTTTTAAAAGGATTTCAAGTCCTCATCACGTTCAATGAGATTGAAGGTAAATATGTATTTAAATGGTTGGCTAAATTGGCATTAAAGCCATTATGAATATTATTTTTAAATTCAGCATTCTTAAAAGATTTTTTTAAAATCAATAAAGCACAATATACTCAATCTAGCTTCCAGATTTTAATTCTAGTTAGGAGTATACTTTAAAGGACAGATAAAATGCATAAGAAAAAATGTAAGTGACTTTTACAGCAATAGACTAGTGAAAATTAATCACATTTTTGTTCTTTAGAGTTTCCATTGAGCTACAACAAAAATGCATAAAACTAATAGTTAAAAAAATCAAATGTGGATGAAGATTTGTCAATAAATTTCCCATCCTAATCAAAGCAGAATACAAGAGAGCATTTAGAAGAAATCCGATTCAACTAAAAAGTACAGAAAACACCCAAGGTGAAAGCTAAGGCACAGCACAAGAATCTGCAGAAAGCAGCAGCAAGGCTTGTTCACCTACATTTGATCCTAACCAACACAGAAGGGTCAGCTGCAAAGACAGAAGGTAACTTGGGTGAAGGTGATCATGAAATGATCCAGTGTCAGAACTTTACAGAAGGAAAAAACATCAAACTAGAAACAATGGACTAGGAAGAAAAATTTCCATAAAAACAGAATACTGATAGCTAAATTCCTGGACCGGGTCATGGGGGAGCAAGTGTAAGGTAAAAGGAGTTAAGGAGACCTGGTAATTACTTAATGAAACAATACTAACCACACATACAACATATCCTAGCACAGAGCTAGAAGTTGTAGTAAAGACTCAGCTTAGCTAAAGAAAGAGCTCTTCACTGAAATACAAGAAGGAAATGTACAGAAAGGATAAAGTAAGGGGTTTACAAAAGGCAAGTATAAAAAATAACTTTAATAATGAAGGACAAAATTAGAAAAGCAAAGATATAAAATGAGACAGACCTACCAAGAAATGTCAAGAGCTACAAAAAATATTCCACAAGTACATTAGTAGTAAAACAAAGAGCAGGAAAAGTGCTGATCTACTGCTCAACAGAGGAAAATCTATTGACAGATAATTCAAGGACAGAAGCAGTTGATTTATATTTTGTATCAGTGTTCATTAGAAAGATCTGTGGCAGACAGATGCCTAATATCCTTAGTAATAGAGTGAAAGAAGTAAAATCTCAGCCTGAAAAAGTGAAAGAATGTATGAGAAAATATTACATAAATTAGATATTTTCAGACTGTCTGGATTTATAGAATTTCATGTAGGAAACTTGAAGACCTTGAAGAAACTTAAAGAGGGCTGCAGCCATCTCAGAACCATCTGACAATTCTTGAGGACTAAGGAAGGCGGCAGAAGATAGAAAAATGGGAAAAGGAGGAGCTGAAAAATTATAGACATGTCAGCTTAACTTGTCTTCCTAGAAAAAGTCCATTTGTAAGCACCTGGAAAAGAACAGGGAGATGAGTCATATGTGACGTATATTAATTAAGAACAAATCATGCCACAGTGATCTAATTTCTTTCCATGACTGGGTAGCAATACAGATAGATTAGGGAAGAAGCAGTAGTTTTTCAACCCTTTACTTCAGTACGACTTTGGGACCGTCTCATAGGATAATCTCTTCTGCAAAGAGCAGGTTAAATTCTTACAAACCAGATGCAAAGCCAGCTGGAAAAGTATATTTTGAAAGCAATTACCAGTGAAGCACTGTCCAACTGGCAGCCATACCAGAGGTCTGTTCTGAGCAGTGTTCTCAAGAATATCTCACATCTGATACTATTAAATATTAACATGGGATGAAGTAGAATGTACACTGACTGATTCTGCAGGAGACTTCAGGATGGGAGGTACTGTATGTATATTGGAGAATAAGTTTACAAATTCATACAGTTCCACATTGGTCTGAAGAAAATACGATGCTATTATGCAACACAGACAGTGCTGACTACTTTTCAGGCAGAATCAGCTCTATAAAGACAGGGTAGGAAACAAGTGTCTTAGCAGCAGTTCCACAGCAAAAGAAATAAGGTTTATAATAGATATTACACAGAACTGAGTAAGCAATGCCATACCTGTGTGAAAGCAACAAATACTGTACTAGATAGTCAGCCTAGATAAGACCTAAGTTAAAGCACGGTCTCTCATTTGCCCACTTCAAAAGTATCTAGAGGAGAGCAACAAGAATAATCAGAAAGCACAACATAAATAACCGAAGTTGTTCAGCTAAGGAAAAGGCAAGTCTTAGCAGAAGTGTGATAAAAAAGCTTTCAGATTTAAAAGGCCTTTAAAAAGAAGAAAGAAGTCACCTAGTCCATCGTGCAGAGGTCAGGAAATAAAGAGTTTAAATTGCTATAAGAAAAGATTCAGGTTAGACAGTGGTGAAGCTTTTCTAACAGTGTGGACAGCGAATACTGGCACAGGTTGCCAGGGAGGTGTGGCTCCTCCATCTTCGGAGGCTTGGGAGGATACGTAAGGTACCTGTCAGGGGTGACACAGCCATAGTGAATTGTGCATGTGGCTCAGGGATGGACTAGGTGCTTTCCTGAAGTACCTTTTAGCCTCGCTGTGTGGCACCGTGCAGTTTTTGAGGACACCTTTACATGTCTAAAATTAATTCAACCACAAGGTTGAACAACCCCCAGAGCAGCAAGCCCAGACTCAAGAAAGCAAGGCAGTCACTCCTACTGAGGAACGATGTCGTTGCCAGCCAAAAGACATGTCCAGCAAAGAGTTCCCTCAAAGTTACAGCCTTTCAAAGCTACTGCAGTGAACTCTGGCTGCACTACCGATGAGCCAAAGTGCAACAAATGGAACCATAGGGCTTGGACTGAGTTTGCTACAGAAAGGCAAGTCAGGCTTCAAAGGCGGGGAAATGTAACGTCAATTAGTTAATAGGCGATATGGTGTTCCAGCAACAACTTCCCATCAGGAAAAAATGGATTCTGTAAGGGATTGTATCTTAGGATAATAGTCACAACTTGGCTGAAGTCCAAGAAATGTTTTGTAAGTCTTTTTTAAGTCTTTACAATCTTGGATCTCCCATTAAGGGATGCTTAGAAAGCACTTTAGAAAAAAAATAAGTAGCTTTCTCTATGAAACAGCAGAGTGAGCAGTGTTTAATTAGCTTCTTAACATATTCAGATACCTTTGAAGAATTAATGTGACTAAAGGACATACATGTTGCACGAAGCTGTGTGACTGCAGCTACTTGATGATCACATTTTTCAGGACTTCT